CGCAGAAGCCTTCTGTCATGAAATTCTGGTAGTATCATACGGATGAAAGGCTATCAAGTCTTTCAACGTAATAGGAGTGCTAAAATACTTAACAGCCTCATAAAATGGAGATAGATATGACTTACCAAAAGAACCCAGATCTGTTATCTGATGAGTAGCATACTTGGACTGGCAAGTTTCTTCAAACGAAAAAAGCAATGACCTAATTTCACTATCACAGAGGTCAAATTTGGTAAAAACTTCAAAACGACTTCCGAACAACCAAATGCCGAGAGTTATCCTACTTGTCTAGCAGCCATCAGATAAAGAGGCCTATCAGGTTGATATTAATGTGTGATTTATCCCGCTTCAAGGTTAAATAGGTCAAATGGTTTTATATCTTCATGTAACTTTTGAATAGTAAGTTAAGAAGATAGATATCATTGAACATGTAACAGTTGTCAGAATAAACTCTCCCAGCCTTCTCTTCATTATCAGTAGAACAGATGCACGAGTTCTGCTTTAAAGACTCTTGTTATCAATAGTTCCCAAGTTCATGGACAAGAATTGTTTGATATGTTTTATGATCATTACAATGTTGTAAACCATTTACTATACCCTACTTTTTACAAGCGATTTAAACACTCAGCTTTTAACAACGAAAAGACAACGTCCAACAGATGATCTATTTCACACTTAACCGTCAGTAAGATACGTCAAGAACGCCTAACTGTGGATACATACTGACTTAGTATCTTTCTTAAACTTTTTAGTGCAAAAAGGTTGTATAGAGTTGTTATTAGATTAGATTTAACAGCTACAAGACTTTATTGTTGTTTCTCATAACTGGAAAATCAAGATGATTTCCTTCTTAAGTGATTTTTTCATTTTTGTTTATGCTCGAACTAACCGAAATCGTTTTATTTATATCAGCCTTCATTTTCAATTAAAATTGGTTTGATTAGACATGACTAAAGACAGTCGGTCTCCTTTAATTTCCAGACTACACTTTTTCTGTTTTGAAATTAAAAGAGACCGACACCTGTGAAAGCATCGGCAGTTTTAAAAAAATAAACTCTTTCTGTATTTCTTTGTTATTCTTTAAAATGAAACAAATATTGATGAACTATTCCTACAATATCAGAGTTAGCAAGCGTTAAAGAATGTTAATCTATGTAGATGAAATATACACTCGCTTCTTAGGTTTCAGGAATGTACTCATGAAATCCGAACGTAAGATAATTTCATCGCAGAAAAAGACATTGCGTGACGTTCAAGCGCATGTTTCTAATTTTACTCGTGACAAGTACAAAGGTTAGGAAACAATAAGTATAGACGAGACATCTCCTTTCCCCCCGTATTAGAACATGATATAAGGAACATGTAGCTTTTGTCATCCAATTCATTATTAAAAGTATTCTTTGTATATGCTAGCCGAGGATTTTATTAGCTTTGTCGTGTCGTGAAATCTGAGTATCCCCGGAATAACAGACTGTCTCATTGAGAATAGTTATCCAAAAGAATTGGTATCAATGCGATAGGGTACAGGTTCGACAGCACCACAAGGTTTTCATCTCAACTTCCCGATGAGCACATGTCCATCTGATAGATATTGGATAATACAGCTCGGATCCTCACCTCAAGTTACACAAGACTGACATTTCATACTGATGCGAATTTGCTACGCTCGGAGTACGACCGATATCCATGCGTATAACGCAGGCAGATGTTGAAGTTTCTATAACATTTTTTTTTTCATTTTGAAAAGAAATGTTCACAAAAAAATTTAAAAGTTTAAAATGTGATAGTCCTGTCAGATAATCTCTCCATCTAAAGAACAATATAAATTACCACGAAGCCTTTCACAAGAACTTAATACAGTATGACATGATTTAAACAGGAATAGGAATGACCTACATATCGTGACCTCATTCTGGTTGGGTATATCTTGATATTATTCTGATTTCTTGCCTTTGTTGTCATAACTCTCATAAGGTCGTCTTACTTAATACCTCATTTGATTTTAACATTAATTTTAACATTTTCCCCTCTCTTTTTAATTTTGATTTGTTCTGCTTTTGTTTGTTTGTTTGTTTTTTTTTGAGAACGCATGACATCACAATCGACCCAGTGTATAGATACAGTTGCGGCAAGAAAAGTGGATCATGTGGTAAAGTTTCATTCATCGACTTTGACCAGATCGTAGTTGTATAAAGTTTACGTACTTTTCTCCTCTGAAATTTGGAGTATAAAGGTTGATATATCATTACATTATATAGTTCATTTAGAACTACAAGAAAATGCCAATGTGCGAACATAATCATAACTCAAATTCACTGAAACTGAGCCAAAATACGAGAGATTTTCACGAAGGCTCATGAAAAAAGTACGAAAGAACCAGACTAGTTGTTCCCGAAGAGCAAGCATCTTCTACTTCATCGACGACAACCATCATGTTCCTCTTGGTCAACCATGTACGAAATGCCCCGTTTTCAAATAGGAACAAGGTATACAACAACGGAACCAACAGGCAAAATTACGAGCATCAAACACGCCCGGCTGCATATCGTACAAAGAAATATTCTTACTGAATTCAATATGACGACAGTAAAACATGATTTTTATCAATCTGCATTTTTTAAAACCTGTGCTACGAGTGTGTCAGTGGACAAACTTGCCATCTCTGGTAGGTATATACGCCGATGGTCTTGTTCAATAAGACTCTGGTGGTTTGAAGACAAAAAATCTTTCGATGAATTCAGCCTCGTACGAAAACGTAAACAAGTCAGTCAACAGAGAGGCGCAGTTATTTCTCTTAGGTATGTCGACATTTTGTCGCAAGATCTTACTAATATCAGAATAAATAGTTGCAAAAGGGTTACTTTATATTCATAAAACAAATAAACCCAAACTTGTTGAACATTACATTATGCTGGGCGGGGGAAATAAGTTATCCACAGCAATGAGTGTAAATGTCTTTGCTAAAATACAAAATCTGGACAGAACGGAACGGTCTTGATCTCACTTATCTGAGAAATGAAAATCGCCTCTGGGAAGATCGAACCAAACATTTCATGTTTTACCTTTGGTTGCATTAACTGATCAAGCGCTTTACCGACTGAGCTATTTGATAAACCATCCAAAATTGGTTTTACTATCGGTACAGTCGTACTGAACACTCTGTAACCACGTTCATATGTTATACAAGTAAGATATATCACTACTATAGCCTAGATTCCTTCTTTGTTTTCAATAGAGTAAAAATATGAGATATTTCTATCATAAAACACTATCCTGTGTATGATATTTAACCGTGACGCTTTTCACAACACAACACAACATTGCATGACTTAAAGACTTCTATAGATGTAGGGTTCACATCACAATTTCCTTTACAGTCGAAAGAACCACATCAGCCCTCTCCAGTACAATGAGGTACGTATTGCTCGCTTATATCGTTAACATGTCTAGGGTGCCAAGATGAGTGGGAAAGTTAGTAGTTCTGCTTCCGATTGTGTTGAGCGTAATACCTTACCCGACAATGGTGGATGGTATGTTGGTGCAGTGGTAACCGGGTTTCGATTCATCAATCGGGTGGGAAATGGGCATGAGATTATTTACCCGACCACGCTATTTGATACTGCAATAATGCTAAAAAAAATTGAGATTTTGCAATGGGCTCCGATGAACTAAGCATAATCCTGAGGATAAGAAGTCAAAACTAACATCTCACAAGCATCCATTCATGTTGTACCATACTCTCCTTCTACTAAATATACGACTACTGTTGTTCATAGTGTTAGGAAATACTCTTCTTAAATGACTTCCTTCTGTAGTTTCGGGAGAATCGCTGGTCATCTTCATTGACGACGGAGTTCGTCAACAAAGTGAACAAATATGGGTGTGGTAGGTACTGACTCCCAATGCATCGGCCATTCCACCACTCATGCCTCCTATAACTTCCTTCTGTGACATCTATTCACTAACCTGTAGATATCATTAGCTATGACCCCCGTAAACAAGTCGTCTTCGCTGTTACTAGGTTGTGCGTATGTTCCACATGAAACATCAAAATACGCTTCTGACGAGGCTTTCTCTGAGATTGAAAATGAAATGCTCCATTTGACGAGAAATGAACATAAGATTATCCTTGTCGGGGATTTTAATGCTAGAACTCAATGTCTCGATGGTTACGTACGACCAGATCACAATTTGATTAAATTCTCAAATGTACATGAGAATTATGAACTACGTGGATATTTAAATGATTATGAAGATCTCATGCAATAAGATATTCCATTAAAAAGAGCAAGTCAAGACCTTGCCAGACCAAACTCATTTGGCTTAAAATTGCTTGAACTTTGTAATAATAATATTATATATATTGCTAATGGCAGAGTCGGAAACGACAAGGATATCGGTAAAAATACATGCAAAAATGTGAGTCTAGTTAATTACTTGATTTGCCCGTCAAATGTTTATTCTATGCTGAATTATTTCGAAGTTCTTGACTTTGATTCTCAGATGTTCACTGTAGGTTGGTATTTCATCTTGAATGTATAGATAATAAGTTACCTGAAAATAAGGTCAAAGGTATTGTTGTTGAAAAACCTGGTAAGTGGGTGAATGAGAAAAAACAAGATTTTGTCGATAAAGTTAAGAATAAATTGCATGACATAAACACAAAGATTGATAACATGCAGGAGACCCTCCAAGACTTATCAAAATTAGATTTGAATAACGTGGTAAATAACATATCTGATATGTTTAATGAAACGGCAAAGTATGTATTTGGTGTAAAGAAGACCCGCCCGGATAAAAAGAAATACACTTCTGGAAACAATAAGCCTCGGATCACGCGAGAATGCTTGATGAAAAGAAATGAATTTCATGACGCTAAGAAAATGTACAAGATGGCAAAAACTAATGTTAATCGTAAAAAAATGACTAAGAAGGGTAGAGAATATAGGAAACGGATTAAGTCAAGCTATGTAAAGTTTCAGTAAAAAACTGAGATTGAAATGAGAAAAATTTCTAAGCATGATCCAAAGGCATTCTGGGATATCCTGAATATAATTGATAAACGGAATAATTCACATGAAGTTGACATGCCGATTGACGATCTGTACGAATATTTTAAAAATTTGAATCTTCAAGATGGAGAAGATGAAGATTTTGAAGTTCCAGAATTGAATGCGGGAAATCAGTATGATAATATATTAAACGGTCCAATCACTACTGAAGAGATTGTCTACTCTGTTAAGAATTTGAAAAATAATAAAGCATGTGGTATAGATGATATATATAATGAGTACATGAAGAGCACACTTGACACTATGTTACCAATTTATGTCAAACTATCTAACATTATATTAGACACTGGTCTAATACCTGAAAGCTGGAGTACTGGGATAATTAAACCCATTTACAAAAATAAAAGCGATCCTAAGAATTTGGATAATTATAGAGCTATAACGCTTGTTTCATGCTTGGGTAAAGTTTTTACATCGATACTGAATACCAGGTTATATAAACTATCTGATGAAACCGGCCTTATCAGCAAAGCCCAGGCGGGTTTTAAAAAAGGTCATTCTACCACTGACAATATCTTTATTTTACATGTATTAATGTCTCTATATTTGCATTTAGGCAAGAAACTACATTGTGCTTTTATTGACTTTAGAAAAGCGTTTGACTCGGTGTGGCGTATCGGTTTGTGGAAAAAGATTCTAAAAAGTAACATTACTGGAAAAATATTTCAAGTTTTGTATAACATGTACTCTGGCACTAAATCGTGTGAAAAATGGCAAGGAAATGTCTCAAATGTTTACATCAAACATCGGGTTGAAACAAGGAGAAAATTGTTCTTTTTTTATTTGCTTTATATCTCAACGATCCTGAAACTTTTTTCGCTGAGAAAAATGTTGAATGTTTACTTAAGGTTGATGAGTTATGTCGTGATAACATTGATATGTATTTCAAAATGTTCGTTATTTTATACGCTGACGATACTGTTCTTTTGTCGGAAACAGCAGAAGGGTTGCAATTTATGTTAAATAAGTTTCAGGAATACTGTCAGGAATGGAAACTTGTAGTTAACACTACTAAATCCAAAACTGTCATATTTTCCAGAAGAAAGACAAGAATACAAAGAACAGTTTTATTATATAATCAAAAACTGGAAGTACAAGACTCTTTTTCATATCTTGGAGTAGTCTTTAATTACAATGGAAACTTTAAGTTGGCAGGAAACATTTTTCCGCTCAATCCAAAAAGGCCCTATTTGCTGTTTACCGAAAAATAAGAAACGTTAAATTACCAATTGATCTACAATATAGATTGTTTGACTCATTAGTTATTCCTATTTTGTTGTATTCTAGTGAAATATGGGGATATGAAAATGCCAGTCGATTGGAAACAATACATTTGCAGTTTTGCAAACGAGTGCTCAGTTTAAGAAAACACACCTCCAATTTTATGATATATGGAGAGACAGGAAGATATCCTATTATAGTTGATATAAAATTGAGAATGATATTTATGGTATAATTTAATCACAAATGGAAATAAGTTATCTAGTCATATGTACAGACTAATGTATTCTCTTCATGAAGCTGGACAAATTCAGTTCAAATGGATCAATTATGATAAAGGTATTTTAGACAGTGTCGGACTTAGTTTTGTCTAGGTACATCAGAAATCATGCATAACCAATGTTAACTATTTAAAGAATAAAGTTAAACAAACATTACACGATCAGTTTATTCAAAATTGGTTTCAGCAGTTGGAAACTTCAACACGAGGACAAATATACAGTATATTTAAAAATCATTTCGGAATTGAAGATTATTTAAAACGTCTAAATGAGAAAGAGTGGAAAGTAATATGTAAATTCAAAACTTCCAATATAAAACCTCCTGTTGAAACAGGGAGATGGACAGGAGTACAGCGAGAGAACAGAATTTGTCCATTATGTGACACTGGTATAGGTGATGAATTCCATTTTTTGTTTATTTGTAATAATGATAATGTACTACAGTTAAGACGTAAATTCATCCCGTCCTACTTCTATACGAATCCAAACTATTATAAAATGAATGGAATGTTTACAATATCTAACAAAAAGTTGTTAATTAATGTAAGCCTATTTGTACGAAAATTATCAAACCTGCTATGATTTCGTTCTGTAAAAATTAAGTAATATTAAGCATACTTGGTATATTAGCCAATATTGATTGTAATAGTTTTTTGTATCGATTTGGAACAATTGTCCATTAACCCAGTGGATTGTATACAATATATTATGTCTATCATCGCTCCTTAAATTTTGTAAAATTGAATGTAATAACCTCTTGTTACACACACACATGTGTCTGAGTGAATAAAGAAACCCTGAAACCCTGAAACCTCGTACAAGGTCACCATTCCCGGTTCTACACAGCCTAATATAACAACCTTCTGTTTTAACAGTTTATCACAAGTGAAACAAAATCATGCCATTTGCCGTAACCTTATTCTTCTTGGAAGTCATTTGACCCCTGTAACATTGAAAGTGTGAAATCTGCACCGATTTGGATAACTTGGAAGTAATTTACCCTAACTTATTACTGGCCGTATATCACGAACCTTAAGATTATAGTTATTGAAGAAGTCAGGGAGTAACATTTTTTACGCATTTTAAGTGGATGATTTAATGGAAAGGAATGATAGACCTTTCTCCAAGGTGTTAAATTATTTTAAAACATCTTAGCCTTTCGATATTAAAAGTGGTTTAGATTGCTAATATAACTTGACTTGAAGCCCTTTATCCCAGTATACTATCATGACATCAAGGAAATGCAGGATGGATCCATTTGACAACTGGATTTGTATTTTGATTGTTCAGCTCGAAGTGGAATCCACCAAAATCTTCTCTAGACAAAGGAGTGGGTGGTTTGACCCTTGATGACGTCAGTGATGATACCGTGGCAACAACAGCGCGGTACGTGTTCGAGGAAGGTCCCCAAACCCAACCCCTGGTTCCTCCCATCTATCACTCATCCACTTACATACTGAAGACAGTGGACGACTTCCAAGATATTGTAAACAAGGTAAGGGTTTACACGTATAACTAGTCCATCATTGTGACATGATGTCATCACTCTACTTTCTAAGTAAGAGACGAAATGATGCACTGAAGTATATATGTTTTGTGACACTACCTAAAATGGAACGCTACTCAAAATAAGTCGATTTTATCGTTAGATATATAAATGTTAGTCAGTTAACTACTTACAAAGTAATAACTTCAGAGCTCCTTTTATTTTGAGGCAAACGTTTAGGTTGTTCGAACGTTCTAAACATATCCATACATTAAATCATTACACTGTTTCTTTACAGGGAGGATACATCTATTCTCGATGGAACAACTTTACGTCAGACAATGTACAGAGTGTGCTCAATAACCTCGAGAAAGGGGCGGGAACTCTTGTGTTCAACTCGGGTATGGCTAGTATAACAACAGCTCTATTTGGATTCCTTAAGTCCGGAGACCATGTCGTACGTATTTATCAATTCTAGATTAAACTCAATACATGTGTGGGTCTTTCATAAACATTGACATCATTCAACTATTCATTCCCCCTATCAATAATAATAATAAAAGCACCCTCATTTCACCTGATATAAAATATTGTCACCATCATTTTTCAGTTCCAGTGTTGTTCTGTGATATGGTTTCTCTTTCCGTGTAAGCCAATTTTCAGATTATTGTGGGAGCAAGTTTTAAATCAGTAATTAATAGGATGGAACAATGTCACGCGACGCTAAAATGTCTGATTTTTGGCGTGGAGCGAAGAGCTTGTTGTTCACTGTCGATTTAGAGAAGACGTGTTCAATGTTAATATGTTTTCTTCTGGAAGTTCTGTAACACTTCTGTAATTTTAGAATAAATGACGGAGACGTCGAATTTATTTTCAGGTCTTTATTCTGGGTAGAATATTTTCCCTACAAAATAACAAAAGAATACAATAAATAAAAGTTACATGAATAATAACATACATCGATTACAATGGACAATCGGATATTTATATTTATAGATACTTTAGCAGAATTACAACAGAACAACAGAACAATTGAATTTGCGCCATTTTCATTCTTTTAGAAATATACAATGTAGACATTCAATTCTCATAATGAATGAATATGCAATATTTATTCATACACAGTACAATTACATAATGTATCTATTTGCAATAGCATATACATGCTTATATACCCAAACAATGGGTTGGGGTTACTATTCCGCAATAATCAACGTCGAGATGACCAACTGGATATTCTACAGATACAAAAAAATATGCGAGCCGTAAATAATTAGCAACAATAATAACTAATTAATGAAATCGACTCCGTAAATGACCAAATTCCACAACGGCAAATTACAATCTAGATAAGAGATAAAAGACACCAACCTTCGAATTTTCTTTTAACTGGACATCTCCCCAAAAAAAACCCACAACGGCGGCTCCTTTCAAACTGACGCAAAGTGACCAAACGAAGACAAACGACTAACCGCCAAACCAAAAGGAGACAATACTGACCATTACCATATATGGAATATTACAAAACGACTGTTCACCACATTAACATAACAAGACACAAAACGTAAGATGTAGATATACAGACAAACAAATAGACATTTACAAGTCCGCGCGCAAATAACGCGTACTGATTAACACGACAGTTATAAAATAGCATACTTACTTAAAATCAAACACCTATTAATTAACTTTATTAAAATTACAGATTTTACACATTGTTACAATTCTATTAGTGCACTATGTAAATGTTTTATATTATTGTAATCACTGTTGATTTTCGGTAAAACCAAAGACCACATGCACTAAAATATTTACTAAACTATTAACGTCCTTGATTAATTATAATTATAATTATTTTTTCTAACAGTTGTGTTTTTCTCAAAACAAATGAAATCAAACGCTGGAAGCGAACCCAAGCTCTCGAGACTCTATAGTAGTGCTTAATCAGACAGTTTGACTAAAAATCTTTGACATTTTGTGGTACAGTTGGCGATTACGAAATCTGGTGTTTTGAACATTCTGAAAACATTAAACATTTTTGCAAATGACAATATCTAATCCATTTCGACTCATATATCAATCTTGATGTTTAGATAATATTAAAGACTGTTATGGATTTTATCAGTTGTAAAATTTGTTAATATGATCAATAAAATTTGCTGAGGCTTGCTGTAACTTTAATCGACTTAAATGTATATATGTCTGCTATATATTTACAGGTGATAAACATACCTTGCTATGCTGGCGTTTTTGATATTGCCAAAAATATATTTCCAAAGTTCGATATCGAAGTGTCTTTTGTACAATCGGGATGTGACGTAAACGAGTACCGGAAACACGTCAAATCTAACACAAGGGTAGGAAGAAATATAGATGTACATATGTATATATAGTTGAGTGAAGTCCCTCCTGTGAAATAACAGCAAAATATAAGATTGCAAAACAGGAATGTACTTTTAGATAAACTTTGATTTTGGAAAAAAGAACGAAATAAGTCAAATAAAACCCTCATATTTATCTAAACGATACGAAGAATTTTTTGTCTCCAAATGCCACTGAAGCCTTGCAATTAATATTCCGGACTGTAATTCAATGTTTCATTAAAAACATGTTTTCTGTGCTTGAAAATATCTGTCAGAAAATCACGTCCAACCCTATCAAAGAGAATATGATAATTAATGAACGGAATATTAACAAAATCTCTTGTATCTAGATATATATGATATTCTTTTTAGATATTGTATGGAGAGACTCCTTGTAATCCAAGCATGGACATCTTGGACTTGGCTGAGTTTGGAAAACTGGGTAGATCACTCAGCAACGTCATTACTGTAGTAGACAGTACTTTTGCTGGTCCCTACATCCAGCGACCGATACAACATGGAATTGATATTTCTGTTCACAGCTGGTAAGACATATTATAAGGGAGACAACTTGAGTGTCTCTTCACAACCATTGCTAAATGAAGTCACAAGACAGCAATACTCTTATTTTAATTGTCTCTCCACTTTTTGAAAATTATGGTATCTAGAACCAGACATATCTAAGGTCGAAATGATAAAGTCTCGTTTCATCTTTTTAAGGTGTACTGTAGAACATTTCTTTGTAATGGTAACACCTCTGTTCAGAACTATGACCAGTCGTTTGGGGAGCCTCAGTGAGGATATTTAATGGGTATCTATATTTAGGCTAGTATCTACCTTTAGATTAAGGGTTAGGGCCAGCAGTGAAAATAATTTAGGGATAGTTAGTTTGGTCTTTTGATGACTTATTACTTAAGTTTAGATTTTAGGTCTACTTTAGAGCTAGTTTTTGGGTCAGGTTGATGAAGTCTTAGGACCGGTTCCGACGTGAAGAGGTACATAAAGAACAGACAAAAAATGGGGAAAAGGGAGAAACGGTGACACATGTAGTGTGCAAATAAGTAACTGGCTTGGGAAGTCAATAGTGACATATAAACTAATCACCTGTGACTTAATGTGTTTCACTATAAATGTTTTACTTTACATCGGAATTTCGTAATAAGATTTAGAATAGAAGGCTTACTCGTGTTTGTTAACGTTATTGTGGTGTGAGAAAGGAAGAAAGCAACGAATACGCGTGTTTTATTTTTAAGGCATTATTAAAAATAAAACAAAATAAATCATTATTTGTAATAAAGTAATTTTATTGCTAAGTGGTTCATATTTTGGTCGAAATGGTAAAAGATGATGATGATATGAGGTTTTTGAAATATAATGTTTTTGAACAGAATTTTGATACGATTAATTTCCCCTCGTTTCAGTACCAAGTACCTGGGCGGTCACAGCGATTTGCTAGCGGGGAGTCTGACCTTTAGAACCGTACATCTGTGGAAAGAAGCTATTCGCTACCAGAATACGTTTGGAAGTGGTCTAGTGAGTTGGAATTTGTCTCCATTTTTATTTCAATCGGTTCTAAACAAGCGTGGATGGACTTTCGATGTTGCTTACTTACAAATCAAATGTAGAGTAGATTTTGACAATTCTCTCGAGCTTTTTTTTTATTTCAACAACTTGCTAGGTTTTAATGCGTTCGGCTCTTAGAGTCATTAACGAATCATAGAAAAGCGAAACCGCTGCATGTTTATTTTTTTTTCATCTTTTTTCAAATATGTATGGAAGGAAGCCATCCTCTACTACGTCAATTTTTACCTTTTTTATAACTAGATAAAATGACAGAGTTGCAGTTTTTCATCAAAATACGTGCGCCACAGAATCAAAACCCTCTATCTGGCAAAACTTTCATAATACTCGGACATTTTTATGGTGTTCAGTCCACAAAGACAGAGGGCCAAGCATGCCCAACGCGATTTTTTTGTTGTGTAATTTCTATATTTCTGTGGTAACACTCGGACTACTAGATCTTTCTATATTCCTTTTTCTGCCCTAGTCTCCTCACGATGCCAGCCTACTTCTTCGAGGCATTAAGACGCTTCCAATACGAATGAAACGTCACAGTTCAAACGGACAAAAAGTGGCAGAGTTCTTGGAGAAGCATCCCAAGGTAAGTCATGTTTCTTCTATACCTGGCTATTATCCGTCACTGCCATTGTATTTTGAGATTACACGGATTTGATGGAGTATCATTTACAGGACAAACAGTAAGAATTAAAGGCTAATACAGGAGTAATATATAAGATAAAGCGGGTATCAATTTTTAAGAGAAACACTACCGTATTAGACAAAATAGATACTTTATGTAAATCCAATACACTGTATAGGATTGTTTCGATAGTTCACACTGTTTTACCAACACTTCCGAGGAAGGTTTTTTTCATTAGACGGACTATGATTTACTTTAATTTTCTCGCGGAGTTATCCCATCCTCAAATACAACAAGAAAATACCGAGATGTGAACATGATTACAATCCAAACAACTCAAATTCAATAAGACTAGGTCAAAATAGGAACAAAAGAATGACTTACACGGAGACAATGCATATAATTAAGATTGAGGGCACAATAATTTGAAAAAAATAACTGTTCGAGATTGTCATTATTCAATTATGGAATAAGGGGAAATCGATAAAATTGCAGAAGGATTTCGATGTTATCTATGACAAATATTGTGTATTTACGTTTTAAAAAAATCCAGTTGTACTGGGAAAAATTAATAAAGAATATCATAATTGAAATTAAGTAATCTATTGCATTTATCTTGAGTTTTCACATAAAATAAATAACCTCCTTTAAATATTTTATTCTTTGCGCACTACATATAGAATGTCACCACGCTGGCATTGTAAACACATCTCTAATAGACAGCATAACTCATCAAAATCTGCCGAAATAGTCATGAATTCGGATGTTCACAGTGGAGAAGTAGAACATTTTTTCGGTTAACTTAAGACTAATTCCCAAAGAACTTAGTTTCAATATGATGTAGCCTTATTAAATCAACTTTTTCCCATACGTATGACCTATGGTTGAGGAATGAATTAAAGATACATTTGTTATCAAGAATAAGATCAAATACACTGAATTGACTTTAAGTAACAGAAATAATGACATCTGATCCCTATATCTTTTCATTTGGTCAAAGTCATTTCAATAGTAAGTCTAGTAACATATTCAACTCGTGTGAATAATACAGAGGTTTTGAAAAGTATAACATTGACTTCATAACAGATCGAGTGGGTCATGTATCCAGGTCTACCGTCACATCCCCAGCATGCCGTGGCCAAGAAACAAATGAAGCTGTTCGGAGGGATGATGTCATTTGAGGTCAAAGGTGGACTAGAGGGTGGCAAAACCTTAGTGGAGGTAATAACACTGATGCGGAATATCTATGTAGTCATACAATCATTTTCTCTTCAGAAAATATTTTCTATTAAATTTTAAGACATATCAAAGCGTTTCCATTGTCCAAATAATTTAGGCAATTTGTCCGGTTTGTACGCCAAGGCTGTTCTTATCCAACAGATCGCTATCTTCGAATAAGTTAACTAGTTGTGCTTTGTATCGTCAACTGAATTAATTGTTGGGTCAACGATCCAAGATCAGTTGTCAACCTCCGATAGTTTCGATGACATTGTAAATTTTTTAACATATAAAGTTTTTATTGATAAAGTATAAGAACGACATGGTGACTTTAATCACTATTTTCTGCACTCAGCACTATAGACGCTGTCTTCATCTGTGATTGTTTACAATGTGATTATGTTTTACAAATACCTCAGATTTTATAGCTATGTGATTTTTGTATGAAATACTAGTATTGATAGATATTTTCATTATAATATGTTTTATCAGCGAAAGTTGTTATTATCTGATAATCGAAACAATATCTGTCCGGAACTTGGATAGAAATTTCGAGTTAGTAAGTCGTATTTCAAAGTTATTAAGTCGATATTTTTAAATATTAAAAAAGCCCTAATGCTCTTCCGTTACTTGCCTTCACAAAAGAAAAAAAAACCCGACATTATTACACAACTGCAAGTTCATTTCTGATCAGGGGCTTAACGTCATACGCCTGGCCGTATCACTTGGTGGCGTGGAGAGTCTCATAGAACACCCGGGTACTATGACACATGGCTCATTGGCACTGAGTGACGAAGACAGGCGAAAGAGTGGTATATCTGCTGGAATGGTAAGATTAAGGTAAGATAAAACTAAATCTATCCTCAGCTTGTACGAAAAAACTTTTGTACCACAGGTTCTAGCCTCGTCTGCCAACACACCCATACATTGGTAAATGTATGTAGCGCAATCGGCATGGCGAAACGACCAAATTTCAGAAAACTTGTAATGGTTACTGAACAACCTCACGGGCGACAGTTTTAGGGCATCATATATAGTTTATCATATACCAAATTAAAGAAAAAATATTTATCTGTCTATTCCGACAACTCTCACGAGATTTCTCGAACAGTTTAGTGACACTCACACGATTCCAAAATTTGGGTCGTTACATACCTTTATTAGTAATTGAGTGTATTGACAGACGAGGCTGTATTGTGTCCTAAGACAAATTGTAAACTTTATCTATATTGATTGGAATTCAGCATATCTTAGTTCAATATGTAAATGGATACGTGTCTAAAACAAATATTGCCAAATATTGGCACGAAAACCATCACTAAAACACTAACATAAGTAAGAGTTTATTGTTTGGCTATGTTGTGTCTAATTCTAAATTTGTAAAGATATATGCTATTCACATGTTTTTCGAACAACCCTTCACAACGTCGCTAACTGTTGATGTTCATCGTCAAACGTTACAATCACCACGAACGATTAAAAAATTATTATTATTATTATTTTATAGAAATTTATAAGGTCAATTTGATTTTTTTTAGCATTGGTTTGGAGGACCCCAAAGACTTGATACAAGACCTATGTCAGGCTTTAGGCAATGTTGCATGCTAAGCATGAAAGTCTGCTTAAGTGAGGACTTGCAATCAAACGATCACTTTCTCTCAGAATTAATGATGAGATAAATGGGGAAATGATATATCAGTGTTTATCAATACCATATATATATTTCTATCTTGCAACTGGAGCTGTTATTTGAGCAAAACACCTGCCACATATATTTTTGCTGTATGAAGGCAGTGACGGAAACAGCTGGTTTTTTTTTTTAACAAGTGCTTTAATTGTACAGAATGTCTGAATTTATCTAATAAACAATTTTGCGAAAATTCACAATATCGCGTATCATATTCGTTGAAGTTTGGAACCACATTTCTGCGCGGAGTAATTATTTTTGCGTACGTCATCGGGCAAAATCAGCGTAACGTCAGCTACGTTAGGTGAACAAAGACTAAACAACAAAACTATTGGGGATTTAATGGTTTGGATTTCAGTCAATGTTGCAAAATAAGTAGATTACAAGGTAAGTGTCCTAAAATATGAGCTGTATTTTGCCGAGCCCTTCTATATAGACCATTCATCATAAAAATCTGTTTCAAAAGTAGGATATTTCGATATTTGTAAAAAGTTGTATTAATACAACAGTTCGCTCAAACTCGTATAAGAGGCCTACAATGACACCATTTCAGTATCAACATGTCAAGAAAAAAGTAAAATACTAAGACTGAAATATTATTTATCAGAATTTATAAAACATGGGTAAAGCATCAACAAAAAGCAAATCTGCACTTAAACCAATGAAAGCGATCATGAGTACCGGAAGGGTAAATGCCTGATACACAAATCTCAGTAAATGCAATTGTTTATTGTAATGTAAAGTCAACCGTTCTGATTCCTTTGTTTCATTGAATCAGAGAAAATAATTTTGATAATAAAACTGATTTTGAGCTGATCTACTCAGATCGTGTCTAAATTACATGATCTGACCATTGCACATAGTTTATACGTTGTTTATTGCACATTATCCATATGTCGATTGCTTTCTTCCGCCGCCATATTTGTTCGATTGTCGGTGACATTTTAACGCTTGCTAGAGTCTAAACGATTACACTGAAAAGATGAACCCTCAAATATGTCAATTGTTTACTACTATTCAATTCATGAAAAAAAGAAGATTTTTTTGTAACGTCAAACAGATTTCTTTTCAATACGAAAAAAAAAAAAAATAAATAAATTGGATCCCTCACCCCTCTTACCCCAACCCTCGAAATCACGTTTAAACGGCACCTGTTCAAGGTAACAAGATGGCGGCGGCGAGAGGCTCGCTTCAAATTAGAATAGTTGATATACGTATAATAATTGATATTAATAACGTTGATTTTGATAAGACAATGGTCTCTTGGAAAGTATTTGTTTATAGAAGGGAGTTGAAGATGATGCATACTATATGGGTCAGCTTAAATAGCAGTAATAAATGTTGATATCACTTTTTAGGAAGAAATATTTTTATTTCATCATTATTAAAAATAAGTTCTTAATCTGTCCCTAAACTAAAAGAACTTTTCAGTGAGAAAAGATCGACAAGGGAAAGGAGATACGATATATATATATATATTTATATAACCAAAGGAAAAACATACTAAGAATCACTTCCTTGCATAAATGATCGAGTTGTACATTACAAATCGGAATAATAAATTCGGAGTAAATAATGAGACGTAGAAGAATGGGGAAAATAGCCGAATAAATCAAAGAAGCCAATGACACTCTCCAAATGAAAGCGTTATTGTGTCTGTGTGTTTATATTGTAAATACTGTATATAAATAACTTGAATTTGAAATATTGCCAGTAGTGATTCCAAACAAACTGTACGCCTGCACTTGCAAAGATTATATTTGTTCAATCGAATACATTATGTAATGTGAATTATGGTCCGGACTCGGCTCAGGATTGTGGGTATATGGACTGTTTGAACCAGCAGCCTGTGCCATGATAAATTGACAAACTTTGACCCCATCTTGTTATATATAATTATATTACCTATCTAATCTTACTACTCTCTACACTATAATATAGATTATGGTAATGCTTGCCTCACATTTCTGTTTGATAATTATTCATCTGAATATATATTCTTAATTCTTATTCCTGTAATGCTATCATTATTATTTAATATCTTTAATTTTGATTGATGTGTCTGTGTACATGTTTAAGTTGTACGGAGAGGGCTTTCATAGACTCAGCTTGTTGCCCAATTCCATTTGTCATCAACATCAAGACAATAAAATATTCTGAAATGTAATGCCAATTGTTCTTTACTGGTGTTTTTTGTGGTTTATACAACCATTTTGCAAGAATATAGTACATTATGATGTAGTTGAATAAAACGTAATTTGTAGTTGAATAAAACGTATATAAATTAATAAGAAAATACATATACTGTAGTAATCAATGAGGCCGACAGAAATAACTAGTTTTATTCGATAACTTCAACAAGCAATAATATTATTTCTTTATTATTTGATAAACTGAATAATGTCAATATTGATTAACTGCAATGTAAAATATTGTAATAACCTACTTTACATAAAGGTTTTGTTCGTCTTTCAGTTAGAATTAAAATAAAATGTGTACTTTAACAACAGTGTTGTCTTTATATATCGTATAAACAACAAATGAAGCCTTTGTCGCTTTGTACACAAGCAGTTTGACAAACAGTCTTAATAAAACAAAACCTTGTCCAATCGTTAATATCTAAGATAAACTCAAGATAAAAGGTTGCCATTTTTTTCATAATGTCGTCTGATGACGTACAAAACATACACAATATACACATAAACATTTAAGAACGACACTTGTCTCAATAAGACGATGGAGCCAGGAGATTTAGGTATTACAGAGATAACAACTGCGTCTCCATATATTTAGGCTGTGACCTCGACCAGTCTCACAACACGTCGTCCCGTTCTTTAGTAAAAATATGAGGTATGTATTCTAGTCACAGTTAATTATTCTTTGAATCCAATGTTAGTAACAGTCTATACCTAGTATAAAGATCCATCGAGAGTTTAAAGTTCAACAATTATTTGTTTTATTAGAGCTATCTTGACCTTGTTTTGTTAGCATTGTATGGAGGCCCAGACAAGTAATCAATACAAACACTAACTTGGCTATTTTATTTGCTCCATACTTTTATGTGGCATAGTCTCATGATAGAAGACAAAGAAATGGTAACGGATGTTTTCATATTGAAATAAACAACTTATGTAAGCGCAAAAATGATTTTAGCGTTACCTGTACAAAGTTAACGATGCTACATGTACCTGGGATTCTTTTGAAATTATCAGATATATATCTACGAAATTTATTGAATTACGGAAAAGGTGTACCTTGCTTTTTTACTTGTTTGTAAATCATCTGCTTCGGCTGTATTTTTCTTGTTTGTAAGTCATCTGCTTCAATTTACATATTACATATTCTCTCGTGTTCGCGAGAATGTCCCTTACTGGTTTGTTCAACACTGGTAATTTTGCAGACGACGTTTTGCCTAACTGCTGAAATTCTCATGCTATGTAACTACAAGCTCATAGTTGAATTATGCGAGGGCATATGTATTATCTACAAGCACGGAATTAGAGTATTCTGTGGAAAGTAGCCCGTGATAACGAGTGAAGACATTATGTAGCACGCGCCATAGGAGCTAAACTGATAAAACGATCCCGGTCCCGATGTGATACACAAATGTAGGGTGATGGACAACAAATTAGGAGATCAAAAACATGTCTTAAAAGTCGTTCGAGTATCACGGAACTTGTGGTTTCGTGTTCTACTAAGAGATGTCACAATGTGTTTTTTCTTTTTCGTTATAAATTAAAGAGCTTTATATGATTTGACGAGGCTATATTTTTATGTATAAATTCATTAAACAGATTACTTTTTGTTCAGTCGAAAATGGGATCCACCAAAATCTTCTCTAGACAAAGGAGTGGGTGGTTTGACCCTTGATGACGTCAGTGATGATACCGTGGCAACAACAGCGCGATACGTGTTCGAGGAAGGTCCCCAAACTGAACCCCTGGTTCCTCCCATCTATCACTCGTCAACGTATAAACTCAAAAGTGTGGACGACTACCTAGAAATACTTGAAAAAGTAAGATTCGAATAAAGGACTATATGGAAATGTATATATTCTTCCGTTCATTTTTCTTAAATATCTGTTATTGTTAAAAACAAGCTGATTGAAAAGACTTTTATCAGGTAAAAAGGTATGAACCTTCTACTTAATATCCTTGATTATCCAGTAAATGGTTAGAGTAACAACATTCGGATTGTGATTTTTGAAACAATATTTATGTTTTTAAGTTGTTTTTTTAACGATTGATATTCTCATATCTGTATAATGACCGTTGAAAAATCTATCCCGAGCTAACTTTTTTGTAATGTTTTATACAGGGTGGTTACATATATTCTCGCCTAAACAACTTTACAACAGATAATGTGCAGAGCGTGCTCAACAACATCGAGAAAGGGGCGGGAACTCTTGTCTTTAACACAGGAATGGCCAGTATAACCACAGCTCTGTTTGGATTCCTTAAGTCTGGAGACCACATCGTACGTAATAAAAATACTGTTATCAATAGAAACCTTAGACTATACTCCATGATAATCATTATCTGTTTAACATCAAATGACAAAAGGGTAATATCAACTTATATCAAAATTATTTTGCTTACTCTGGAAGGAACACAGAGTACCCAGGTACAAACAATCATCTAGTATTACAACGCTGGTCGGGTTGGTGAATGGCGATTGCGCCATTACGCCATTGGACCACCTTCACTCCATAATGCTACACGTTTACTAATAATAACACAAATAAAATATTGTCTTCACTTCAACTACTTGCCATATTCGTCCATGTCTCCGAAGAACTTCATTCTTCGAAGTTGTTTATTGTAGGTAATCAACAATCCTTGCTACAGTGCCGTATATGACATTGTTAAGAACATATTTCCAAGGTTCAATATCGAAGCGACGTTTGTGCCAGCAGGATGTGACGTAGATGAGTACCGGAAGCATGTTAAGTCAAATACCAGAGTAAATATACTGGTCTCCGTTTAGCTATTGTTGTTTCAAGTCAATAGAGCATACAGCATTCAAACAGAGTTTTAAGACCAATTATTGATTCCCTTTTCCTGCCGAGACTCTTTATTTTGTCTCGAGTGCTGTGCATTTTTCTGAATACAGTGTTGAGACTTTTATCATTATAACAGGAAGTTTCATATTGTCCTGATGAGGACAAAAACGGAAACACTTGTGTTTGATGATTTTTTTATTCGTTCTTAATCCTTACAAGATGCTGTATGGTGAAACTCCATGTAACCCTACTATGGCCATTCTCGACCTAGAAGAGTTCGGGAAGCTTGGCAGATCACTTACTAATGTTATCACAATGGTCGACAGTACATTTGCCAGTCCTTATCTCCAGGGTTCAATCCAACACGGAATCGACATTTCAATGCATAGCTGGTAGGATAGTTTAGCCCTTTTGTTTACGTGAACCCATTGATCCAGAATACTAATAAAGTATATTATCAAGACTAAGCATGGTTACAATTATCTAAGTGCTTCTATCAAAACAGCGTAATTTCTATTTTCCCTATTTGGATTAATTTGAAAAATTCCACATATAGCTCATAGCATTGCTTTCTGGATGACTTGCCTTTACGAAAACGCAAACAATGTTTTATTTGCAGCACAAAGTACTTAGGCGGCCACAGTGATTTAACGGCGGGAAGTTTGACTTTCAGAACGAAGCAGCTGTGGCAAGAAGCTATACGATACCAAACCACATTCGGGAGTAGTTTGGTAAGTGTGACTACATTGCTACTAGTATGTGAAGTACGTAGTTGTTGAACTCCATTTATGTGCAATAATAGTCTTGTCACGTTTGACCAAACTGACGTTAATATGTCAGCGACCACTGGTGAACTATTGTAACTCGTACAAACTTGGGTAATAATGTATAATAATGTAAAAACCAAACCTCTATATGTAGCATTTCTTTTGACTGAATGAGAACTTTCGAAAAGTGAATGAAAGTTGAGGGTTTTGTGGGAGGAGGGGAAGGGGTTAACATAGAAGAACATATTCCATAGATATTCCCCTGCGGCATAAAGGACAGCATAGATGTATCTTTTCGCCATAAGATTATTTTTACTGGGGTTATACAGGGAGACACAATTCGTAATGGATACTTCTCCTTCAGGTGTACTGATTTTATCCACAAATAAACAAAGATGGACACTTAATGCAGGGGTAATAAAATGTTGAACTAATGTAATGTTTACAACGATAATATTGGTGCAATAATTCGCTCAGATATTTTCGTTGAAAATAATAGCAATATTGTAAATGCATCTCATAAATGCTCGCTGAAGAACGCATTATCTTTGTACCATCCTGAAATGAGGAATTTATTTCATTTAATCATTATCCATAATTTGGATGCCGTCTGTCCGTTAAATCATCACTTTGATTTACAAATGTTGATTGAACGGTTACTAAAGAGGGTTGGTTACGTTAAAGTTTTGAACTCTCAATAATGAAAACATCAATTACAATCTATTACTCATCACTTTGCTTTGGCTCAGTTTTATACACTACTAAATTATTCAACTGCTATTATCAAAGACTAAGTATAAGAAATTACCCAATCTTTGTCCTGATTACAAATTACCTTTAATACATTGATTGTTGACGAGGAACAGATCACGCGTAGACATTTTCCTAGAAACGTAAAGTTTTGATTAACAGTATTCTATAAATTGAGAGAAGTACTGATCCTCTTCCGCCAAAATATTGCTGTGTAGGTTTAAATATATCTAACTTACATATTTAAAAACCAACGGATATTTCTACAGAATTCTCAAACTTCGCTCAAATTTAGTCCAAATTTCGTGTGTCGAAGCTAAAAACAATAAAACGAATGGACATTATCTCAATAATACAAGAGTTCCTCGGAACTGTATGTGTCGCCTGCATAAAGTGTCACGGTCACCCAGAAATGACCAGGATGTGCAACAATCAACCCTAAAGTTGTAATACCAAATTTCATTTCTATAACTTGAAGCATAAAGGGAAAACTGCGCAAAGCAATATTCCTGAGAATTTTTCCAAGTTCAAAGGGACATATCACTGCCAAGAAGGGTTACAGACTGCCACGAAGCGAACTAGGTGTGTAACGTTAGGTTAAGAACTCATATACAAAATTGCATTTTCATAACTCGAAGCATAACCAAGAAAATTCCAGAAATCAATATTCCCAAAGAATGTGAGTTCAATGGCTCAGGAAGAGTCACAGAGAGCTGAGAATTGTTCTCGAAGGGGCATAACTCAGCCAAGAAGAGTCACAGACAGCATATAGCAAATGTCATTTCTATAACTCAAAGCATAACCAAAGCAAGTCAAGAAAACAAGATTCCAGAGAATTTTCTATGTTCAAAGGGGCATAACTCAGCCAAGAAGGGTCACAGACAGCCAGGAAACAAATTTATTCTGTACCCTTGCAACAAGAAGCCATATACTAAATTTCATTTCGGTAACTCAAAGCATAAGCCAAAAAAGTCCAGAAAACAATATTCCCAGGAAATTTATTAAGTTGAAAGTGGCATAACTCTGCTAAAAAGGGTCACTGACAGCCTGGAATCGGACTTTAATCTGTACCCTTGCAACAAAAAGCCATATACTAAATTTCACTTCGATAACTCAAAGCATTACCGAAAAGAGCCCGGAAAACTTTCGTACGGACGACGCCGACGCGTGACGACGAACAAAGTGATCCCAAAGTGTCCGCCAGCTCTGCAGGCGACACAAAAAGTGCGGTAACTATACGATGTTGGGGAATAAAGTCGACTGAAAATTCTTTATTTTTTGTTATTTCGATACATTATTCAATCGCTATGCATATTATTTTAACCGTATCCGATTATGTCCTAACAGTCCCCACACGATGCCAGTTTATTGCTACGAGGCATCAAGACACTTCCCATACGAATGGAACGCCACAGTTCAAACGGACAAAAAGTTGCTGAATTCTTGGAGAAGCACACTAAGGTAAGTTTCATTTACCTTACTGATGTATTTTTAAAGTGTGATATAACTTGCATTTGACTGAGTATTTTTTAGAAGGCAGATGAACTTAACCTTACCTTGTTTCAATATTCTTTGCAACTTTTTAAAGGTGAACAAATTCCTGTATGATAATAATTTATTTCACTCGTGTTATCCAGCGTTGAATTAGGATGCAGGTATTTTGAAATATAAATATCAATAATCTTATAGTGCTAGAATTAAACTCACTTAATCTTTGATTCAGTGACAATTTAGTACTATGAAAATTACTACCGGCACTACAAAGTGAAGTCTGAACTCAACCGTGCAGATATATCGTGACACTTAATATATCAGTCCAGCGTGTCACATCGATTAGATTATAATTGTTGGCATGGAATTAAATGGCTTAACATAAAAAGTTGATGGTCTTTGATGAGATAAACATCACTAGAACTTACCGCGGCCACTACTTCCTACCGCACGTGCTAAATTAGTGTCCATTAATCAGAGGAATCGATCTGATATGTTTTGTATGTAATATATATCAGTAATGAGTGCATGATAATTGTCATGTTGTTATTAATAATTTATACTAATTCTAACGATAAAAGGTGACCTGTTGAATTTTTCATGCTTAAGTCTATTGGATTTGTACCAATTCAGTTCACTTGATGTAGCACTGTCATACCCTCATCCGAAACAAAAAGAATAATAAAGACTTGACGCAAAAACAACGATGAAGTAAAGTGAAAAGTTTCAAACACATCGGTTTTCAGACAACATACATCTTATTTAGAAAGACGTAGTCGGCCCCTTAATCTGTAGATGCTTTTTTTCGATAGAAGATTTTTAAAGATAAATAATTGACTTTATTACAGATCAATTGGGTCATGTATCCAGGTCTACCGTCACATCCCCAGCATGCTGTGGCCAAGAAACAAATGAAGTTGTTCGGAGGGATGATGTCATTTGAGGTCAAAGGTGGACTAGAGGGTGGCAGAACATTAGTGGAAGTAGGGATTTCATTATTACTAATAATTAGTCTCTTTATTTCATTTGTTAAGAGAATTTGAAATATTTCTTATTACGGTCACGCCTGGCATGCCACAACAGAAGAACCATTTGTGACTGTCTAATTAAAATATGTGTGAATGTTTAGTGTTGATGGTAGTCTAACGTTATCATCAGTCATGGCTTTATGTGCGACTTTCAAACAGGAATGGTCTCGCAAGATACGCGACACAGTTCCAATACATGTGAAGAACAGAGGCAGTTCTTGTAGTGACAATTTGCATAATATTCTCATGTACATTTTGACGTTCTTTTGAAATAATTTTGTATTGAAAAGTATTAGATGTATGGAGTTATGAGGTCAGTGCAGCTTCCAATCTTTATCTTGATATAATTTCCGCCGGTTTGTGATCTTTCTCTTGGAGTTAACCTTAAAGGTCTGTAACATTACAGACGTATCCGAGAAGGACGAAACAATTGTATCGAAATTTGGATAATTGATTTTCATATTTAGTTCTACTTTGGGCCAAATGTGTATACTGCTATGCACAGTGTTCCTTTCGAAATTAATTTAAGAAGTCTATTAAATAAAAAATACACGCAAAACTCCAACAAACAAAAAAACCCGATTGGAGAAGTGATGACCTGTTCATTCTTACGAAAATGTTGGCAGTAAAGTGCAATGATTCTTCGCTTATATGGTCGCTGTGTAGACTCCTTTGCTATCGGCGTTTCATCTGTAGGGACTCCACGTGATAATACTGGCAGTGTCACTCGGGGGCGTGGAGAGTCTCATAGAACATCCGGGTACAATGACACATGGACCCATGCTTATGAATGATGAAGACAGGCGAATTGGTGGAATATCTGACGGACTGGTGAGATTAAGGTAAGAGACAAATTCACACTGATTGGTTATGTACAACATTTCTTATCTTTCTTGGTGATTAAAATTAAATTGAATATATTAATTGTTGTTGAAAAAGTATGTTTTACATATGTTTTAAAGTCTACTGTTCTGGTACATATCACGTGAAAATAATCTATTTGTCGTTCCCATTAGTTGCCATTTTGACCAATAGAATCATTATATATCTATATGTAGATATGTATGAGAGTACAAAGATGTAACTTAGTAGTATATTTCGCTTCCAAATATAAAGATATGTTTACAAAACTCAAATGTGGTTATAGAGATTATCAGATTATCATTTATTTTTTTTATTTTTCTCAGTGTTGGATTGGAAGACCCGGACGATTTGATCAAAGATTTACAGCAAGCTTTACAGAAAGTTTCATGCTAGACCTGACAAAACAAATATAACCATCGACCATCATGTCTGATCTTGAAAGGATTCGTTATTATCGGTCTTTCTAATCCTTTTGATTTCGTAAGGTAGAAATATATTTGATTGAATGTTTATTTATGTAGCATGATCAACACACCTATTCCATTTGGATTTTATTGATTAGCAAGTGATATCTTTGAAATACTGGCCAATAGGTAGAAACATTAAAACACGTCCGAGAGGATCTAGGGATCTCCTATACGTACGTCTCATGTCCTACTTCTGCCAACGCCGATTTTATCTATTTTATTTACCTGTAGTTCCGTAAACCTTACAATTATCCTAAAATGATTAAAATTAACTTTATTTATTTGCCCAGTATCCAAGCAAAATCAACGTAATCAGGCAGAAAACCGTATATATTTCAAATCTTTGTGATCTGGTTGATTTAAGGATCCTCTGTTCTTCCACTTACTTTTCATGAAATCTTTGTACATCTACCTACATTGCACAACGATCATTTCTATTAGAGGTGTCAAAATTGAGTTCAATTTTACTATAAATAGATTTTAAAAGTCATCACCGACTTACCAACTTACCCGATGTTGATGAAACTTGATAAAATGGTATTGGATACCCTCCATCCCCCCCCCCCCCCCCCCAAAAAAAAAATGGTTCTAATTTTCGCGAAATAATAAAACACTGAAACAAACGACAGTCATGTAATAAGGGAAAAAAACAAACAAGCAAACAAAAAAAAACAACAAATAATGAAAAAAATATATATAAAATCACTCGATAGGGACGATTTGTACGTAATGGCGTTCATGTATATGTTAGTAACTATACCTTCTGTGGTTAAATTTGAGGCCCACTTTACCATACTGTTTACGTTCTCGTTCTACTGTCTTCGTTTTCTGCCAGATGTTACGGAACTTGATACACTTCATCAAAACAATTAAACCTTGTGCAAGTAAACGTCTCGATCTCCTCAGAGGACTTCGTTACGTCACTATAATGCAATTGGCATGAAACATAATTGACTTCTTTACAGCAATCAACTCATCTCAGAGTTCTCGGCAAGTCTGCTCAAAAATGAGGTCGCTATTGATATCAATTTCTATATCAGCAAAATTTATTACAAAGTAAGAAATTTATCTTCAACTTTTTATCTTAAAATTGTATGAATAAAAGGTGATGCAATTATATAAGTTGCCATGAACCATGTTTCATTCTATATTTGAAATTATCAGAATATATCAATTAGCCTGCACGTCTTTGACTTTTGATATTTTTACAAAGATACCAAAATATTTACAGAGGCTGGGAAGGAACGGCGAAAAAAATATTATTAAGGAATGCAATTGTATTACTCTTTTGTGCGGTCAGAGCAAATTATCGTTTCAGTGAAAATATATTCTTTCCCAGTATTTAGAACGAGACTGAAGATACATTGACATCGATATTACAACAGAAAAACATTGAGCAGAAGAGTTCAAAGCCAGTCACAATCATATACATGTGTACGAACTATTATCTAATCTCATTCTAGTCTGAGTTCACAAGCAAGTTAACACCTATATTAATAGAGTCATAATTCAAATACTCCAAATAACAATAACTCCAATTTGATAAAACTAGGGCAAAATATGAGCACATGAAAATTTATACGGAGACTTCTGAAAAAAGACACGTGGTGGAATAAAGCTAGATGTTCCGAAGAGTAAACGTCTTCTGCTTAATGGACGACACACGCAATATGAATCTTTGGTCAATCCAAGTAAGTGACATCACGTTCTCAAATGAGAACAAGGTATTCAACAAATGAACCAACCATCAAAAATAACAAACGTCAAGATTATCAATGAGATCACTATGACGACCGAACAACTTTCCCATAATTTTCATCAACCTGTATCTCTCGAAACTATGGAGTGAGTTTGTCTACCACTTGTCGACATCTTAACAGGCCCATAAATATCAAATATATTGTGACATGTAAACATGAAATTGAAAATCACTAATCACACAGGTTGGCAGAAAGTCGTCCGTGTAGGTTTCGTTGTAAGGAGAAAATGTACAAGTACAAGAAAACATATTGCTTATATCTTTAAAGTAATAACATGCTTTTGCCAATGTACTGAATACTAAGCATAATAGGAATGTTGCTGCCATGTTGCATATGATCAAGTTATTGTTTGGTAATTTGGACTACAATATTCATGAAAAAGAATGCAATATTAATTACAAACCACGATACATTTGCAAAACAAAAGCATTTTTCATTCCTCTCATTTTATTTACCCGACATGTAAGCAATATTCAACATGGATATATAAAGATATATATTAGAAGGCTTTACCAAATACCAATATCAACATCAATCAATATGACCCGATCATTAACATCACTAGTTTCTCGCTGGAATCGGTATTTGAGGTAGATTTATCAATTCTGTTTAATTCACTTGATTTTATTGTTTTATTTTTCACTTAAATCACATCAATCATTACACTGACGTGTGTCAACACGATAAACCAACATACAGGTAAAATAATACAACCACCATATACACGCAGTTCTCTGTACATCAGTTTTGCTAAAAGGTTTCAGCTTTAATGTAGCTTTCCGTTCTCTTATCTAAACAAAAGCAACAGGTGTTTTTGTTAGAAGTAGAAATGTGTGATTCTTGTAATCAATTTAAACAGCACAGATTTAATATGTCAAGTGTTCGTCCCAGTTCCTTTTTATCCTATATATAGACGAAACATGCGTTTTCAGTGGGAACAACAACAGTTTCATGAGGATTTAGAAATTTCAGCATCACCACAGCGGCTCAAAATTAGAGCTAATATATCCCAGCATTGATATTTGAGGGTAAAATTTATCTGAACATCAACACATGCTTTTAATAAAAAGGGAACTCCGAGCCTTATACCACTAGAAATGCTAACAAAGCGAGATAGTAAAGGCATTCTACTGTTACCACAGATTCACCTTTAATCACTGATAGATATTTTCCATATCACTTCAATCGATAATGACATTTATGCGAATTTGCAAGAAAAAAAATCCTATTTCAAACATTATGAAGAAGCGAACATTGAAAATGAAACATAAACACTCGCCCACATTTATAAATGAATGTATACCTATGTCGTCTTGCCAGTGCTGCTGAGTGACGGTTTGGAAACAGAACACGAATTTATAGTTTACTGTCTATATCGCTTTTCATGTTCTCCTTTGCTGTTGAAATAGGAACGTTTTGGTCCTCCTCTTCAACCAATAGTGAGGGAAATTGTTTTGGCATCATGCGAGGAGGTTCATGGTCGCTATCACATCGATACTTAGTAAATTCGTATACACCAACTGTTCTCAGATAATCTTCGTCGATCAGTGCCTGACCGTTCAACCTGTCAGACAAGGAAGTGACAAAATAACTATTAAACGATGAAGAAGACAAATACATACCGCCGGTATAGTTAGGAGGTTGTTTAATGAGCCGATATATATTATATTTTGTACAAGAACTTCGATTAACTTTTTGACATGAAACTTTCCTGGAATCAGTATGGAATCATAGTAAGTCATTTCACCATTTTGTTTTTTTGTCTTTAGAGAACCGGAGGGACAGATCTAGTGTTCTAATTATACTTTATGGCTTCCTTGTCGAACTATGAGGTCTGACTTTACTCATGAATATTGTGTTTATTCATACAATCATAGTTCTAATTTTAACTGTAATAACCTGCACAAAAGAAGGAAGGATTCCTGCTTATCTCCCTACATAGTGATGGTAAGATGTTAACACTCGGAACTTCTCTGGTGATATCTTATATCCCTACATAGTTATGGTAAGATGTTAACACTCGGAACTTCCCTGGTGATATCTTATCTCCCTACATAGTTATGGTAAGATGTTAACACTCGGAACTTCCCTGGTGATATCTTATCTCCCTACATAGTGATGGTAAGATGTTAACACTCGGAACTTCCCTGGTGATATCTTATCTCCCTACATAGTGATGGTAAGATGTTAACACTCGGAACTTCCCTGGTGATATCTTATCTCCCTACATAGTGATGGTAAGATGTTAACACTCTTCCCTGGTGATATCACATAGTTATGGTATGGTAACATAGTGATGGTTGTTAACACTCGGAACTTCCCTGGTGATATCTTATCTCCCTACATAGTGATGGTAAGATGTTAACACTCGGAACTTCCCTGGTGATATCTTATCTCCCTACATAGTTATGGTAAGATATTAACACTCGGACTCCGGAACTTCCCTGGTGATATCTTATCTCCCTACATAGTGATGGTAAGATGTTTACACTCGGAACTTCCCTGGTGATATCTTATCTCCCTACATAGGTTGAAATCGGTTAAAGTGCAGGGGATACATTTCTTTCTGAAATTCAACAGAAAAATTCGGAAAGTTTAAGTAGTAAGAAACAACATGAACAACATATTAATGTCATGATATACAAAAATTAAATCTGAACAAAGCCAAAGATCTAGAAGAATTAAGTATTTTTCGGAATGCAGAAATATTTCCCCCTATTTGCCTGAATCCCAAAACAAAAAATATCCAGTTTTATCGATTTATGCAAAATGCGTATAAATTATCTTTATGTTACCCACAGGAAAGTTATATCATTAGAACAGTATAGGTGTATACTAACAAACAAACATAAATATTTATTTATCTAGTATACTTTCATTTTGGCTTTTGGGCCTACGAAAGTTGATACATAAACACCTTTCTGTCGGATCCTCAGCAATTTTAACAACGGCGTCAGCAAATATATGGGGCGTCCTCATTAGTTTCAAGGGTACTTTCATTTTGTCAGTAACGTGACTTCTGATGACTGTAGCAGGCCACAGGGCACTAACTGAAACTCCTGTTCAAAGTAATAGTGCAAGTATAAAGAACAATTGATGTTAATTTGTTTCTGAAATATTGTTTCGCTTCTGTTTCTGATTTTGTACAACTGTTTCGGGAGATGCTGGTTGTTCTTAAACTGAATACTGACTATGTTCATCATCATCACTAGTACCTACCTGTTCCTTGAAGTTCGTTAGCCAGTCCGTGGACAAGGACTGTCATGCTTACTTTTGACATGGCATACGTTGTCTTCCCTTTGAAAAACCTAAAAAAAACAAAAAACCAAAAAACCAAAAAAAAAAAAAAAACAAACAAACAAAAAAAAACAAAAAAAACAAAAACAAAAACAAAAAAACAACAAAAAAACAAACAAAAAAAAAACCCCAAATATTTCAGTCCAAACAAAACCTGAACGTGTTGGTACTTAATGTATCCCACTCATGTTTTTTCCTTGATAAACGTCCTTCTGTAACGTTACGACATATTCATCCACTTATAATGATGTTTAATGGAAGGCTCATATAATAAAAAATTGCATTACTACCATGTGTTGATGGGTTTTTTTACCTGTAATAAAACACATCTCTTGTATGACGTTTTCCATTTGCCAAAGTGTTGTCTTAGTATAAACAATTACCAGTAAACATTTAATTCCTTGAATAAAATCTCTAACACGTATAGTAGATCTGTAATTACCAGGCGACAATTCGATATTAAAATCCGTCAATGAAAACTACTTAAGGCAATTAAACGTCGATCACTAGAGAAAAAAACATACGGCATCGGCATGTTTTTTTTTTTAATTATAGTCTAAGAAGTCCAGAAGTAGCCTCGGAAAAACATAGCTGTTTAGAAAATTTAAGCGGGTGTTCAAAAATCCCTAAATCAATATATTTTATCGATTACAATCTTTCTGTCCTAGAAATATTTTCACCTTATACTGACTACAATCTTTCTGCCCTGGAAATATTTTCACCTTATATAGACTACAATCTTTCTGCCCTGGAACAATTTTCACCTTATGTAGACTACAATCTTTCTGCCCTGGAACAATTTTCACCTTATGTAGACAACAATCTTTCTGCCCTGGAAAAATTTTCACCTTATACCGACTACAATCTTTCTGCCCTGGAAAAAAATTCACCTTATACCGACTACAATCTTTCTGACCTTGAAGTATTTTCGGAATATATTTCTTTCGAGTTTTCACGCAGCGACAGAACTGATGATACAGATGTTTTCATTATATGGCCCTTATATTTGCTCATAAAAGTACAAAAGAACCATTTACACGGATACTCCCGAAAATGTACAAGTAGAATAAGACCAGGTGTTCAGGAATTTTAACTAAACTTATAAAATTTATCCTAGAAACAAAAATTACGGCTAAAGAATGCAAAAATTCATATCTTAACCACTGCATCCCGCAAGGTGTGTGCTCAACACAGAACATAAACGCCATGCAGATCAATGACACCCCCCCCCCCTCCACCCTCCCTCCCCTATTCTGTTCCGATTCCTGTGACAGTTACCTGTTGTATATGGGCGGTGACACCAATATAATTTTGCCGGATTTTTGTTCCAGAAAATGAGGAAGGACCTCCTGTACCATTATGTAAGCTCCTCGTGCATTGATATCATTCATCAAGTCAAATCTTTTTGTGTTTGTATTGATCACCTTTTCCCAGGTAATGGACCCAGCGTTATAGACGGCCACGTCTAACCGGCCAAACCTGCGTCAAACAGAAAACGATTCATTAAACGACAATGTCTGATTTAATAATACGTGGAAACTTACCTTTATATATATATATTGATAGTTTATTTATTTGTGTTTTATTCTTATTTTCATTCTTTGAAATGTTGTGTTTGTACATGATATACCTACTCTTTTACACATTTTGTGACTGCATTCCTGATGTCTTCTTCTTTCCGAGCGTTACATACAATAGGTGTAGCCCTTCCGGCCTCGGCTTCGATTTCGGCCGTGACTGTGTAAATGGACCCAGGTAGTACCTCGGTGGATTTCTCAGTCTTTGATGCCACGCCCACATCGTAGTGATTCCTTGACAATGTCAGAGCGATCTGCCTCCCAATCCCACGAGACGCACCAACAACTAATGCTGCCTTTCTCATATTTAACGACGAGGTGAAGTCAATCTGAAGTCCAATAATAATTCACGCATTAAACAAAACAAAAACATGTCAACAGAATCATAATTCAAATTCAATTAAACTAGGGCAACATATGGACAAAAGAATGATCTACACAAGACCCCTGAAAACGTACAATGATAATTAGATCCACGTCACGTACTTCTATACTGATAACACAAGTTATGCTTTGCATATAATACGCCTAAAACGAAAGTACAAAAAGCTGATGCCTTAAGAAGTTATTTCAGTGATAAGAATCTAGGGCTTTCAATAATCAAACATGCAAGGGGTGTGGTGTATGAATATGAATTTTAAAACTTTTGTAATATATGTCATACATGTATATGTAGGTATTTGAAAAATGATCTTTAAAATTTCATAATATGAAATGCGGAAAATTCCGTCACCGATCCCGTTTAAATCATTAGAAAATACGATGCACTTTGTCCCTCGTGCGGCAACCTAATACACATACCATATTAAACATAAACATGTATTTGATTGATTTCAGTATATTTCCTTCTTCACAAATGAAGAATACATATACATAAAGTTTATATGTTATGAAACATTCATGCATGATATTGCCTTGACCGGTCATCGTAACATTTTCGTAGCTGATAGAGCCGTTAGGCCTAGTCAAATATACATATGCAAACGAAAAGTTTTAACCAAGGTTAATCTACACCAGTAGACCTACGTGATTGTGTGGCGTTGAGGACTTCACCGTGCAGAAGGCATGTTGGCCTAAAACTTTGATAGCACTGACTATAACATCTAGACTTGTCTATCTAAGTGGGCAATTATTTCCGGAAAATTCTAAATTGGTATGTACTTACAACGAACATCTTGTGTCGATACCGATATGAAAACAAAACGATAATTTTTTTTTTGTTTTTTTTTGTTTTGTTTTATTTTTCATACGCATTTATTACATAATATAATTAGTGCACTAAATCTTTCTACATATAATTAATAAAAAGAGTGGCGTCATCATCAATATCACCATCATCATATGTACACACATACATACACATACAACTATACATCATCATGACCAATTCTTACATCATCATCATCATCATCATCATCATCATCATCATCATCATCATCATCATCATCATCATCCTGGCCAATTCTTACATCTATCATCGTCATCACCATCATCATCATTACATCATCATCATCATCATCATGGCCAATTCTTACATCATCATCATCATGGCCAATTCTTACATCATCATCATCATCATCATCATCATCATCATCATCATCATCATCATCATTATTACATCATCATCATAATGGCCAATTCTTACATCATCATCATTATCATCATCTATCATCGTCATTACATCATCATCATCATCATAATGGCCAATTCTTACATCATTCTCATCATTATCATCATTACATCATCATCATGGCCAATTCTTACATCATCATCATCATCATCATCAATACATCATCACCATCATCATAATGGCCAATTCTTACATCATCATCATCACCATCATCATTACATCATCATCATGGTCGTCATATTCATCTTTCATCATTAAATCATCATCATCATCATCATCATCATCATCATCATTTATATATATACACACCTACATTGTACATGTGCGTTGCATGTCCATACACACTCACACATTCAGCAAAATCATCAGCCCAAAATGAAAAAGAAAAAGAAAAGTAAAAAAAAAGAAAACAAATAAATAATGAAATATATAAATATATAATAATAATAATAAAAAAAACAATAAAATAAAGAAAAAGTACATGAGGGAAACTTCAGTAGACATTCCAGTTTCACAGTAATAGATCTTGAAATAGATGAGAGAAAAGCAGATATGTAGCAAGAGACAGAGAGAGATAGAGAGAGAGAGAGAGAGAGAGAGAGAGAGAGAGATGCCAGGCTAAAAGTGAGTTTGACCATAAACAATAAAGAACAAAATAAGGGTCTCGTGGGAAAGTACAAATCTATCAAAATACATTGCTGAACAAATAAATTGGAAAAAAAAAATTAATCAAAAAAGTCATAAGTCTGATATTTCTAACAATTTTTTCCATTTTTTCCACTCATAATCGAACTTTTGTTTAGCGTGTTCCCCCTGTGTATTAGCAATGTATTTTTGACACTTGTAGTAATCTTTAATTGAATTAATCAAAGCAACTGGATTTAAAATTTTATGCAAACATCTTGTTTTGTAAATATAAAATTTAATCATAATCAAAATTACATTATCTATCCTACTTCTTGTATCATTCTCATTATTTACAAATATGCCAAAAATAAAACTTTTCTTATTAAATGAGAATGGAATAAGGAGAGCGTCAAGAAGTGTTTCTAGACTTTGTAAAAATCTCTGAGTTTCTTGGCACTCCCACAAAAGATGACTGATTGTTTCTCTCTCTAAATTACAAAGACTACAAATTGGGCTATTAGCTAATCCTACTTTAAACAAGAAAGTATTTGTTGTTAGTATATGTTGGGTTATCCTGTACTGAAACCATTGTAGTTTGGTGTTACTAGTAACCTTGAAAGGTGTGTGTCAAATGTTTTTTCCCCATTTTGTTTTACTTTTGGAAACAATAGATTTCTTTATCATGAGATTATACAAATCCTTACATCCTGAAAAAAGAAATACTAGAGGGAATGAGTGGGTATACTTTTGATTGTTTATCAAAGTCTACATTAGCTTTCTGTAAAAATGATTTAATAACAGAAATCACACCCTGATACAGGAGAAAATTTGTAGTGACCCTGTAAATATCAATAGATTCTTGAAATGAATAGAAGGAAAGTGTGTTTATGTCTTTCACCAAATCATTGACTATTGTCACCCCTCTGTTGTACCAAGTCTTATAAAAAATTGTCTTTTTCCCAATTGTAAAAATACTGTTCTACCAAAGTGGCAGTTTCAATATAATTTTTTCTTGTATTTTCTTAACCCCATGCGAATTATTAAATCATATCCATGCTTTAAACACGTCTTTCCAAAATTGGTTTTCACATTTATTCTGACACTCTTGAATATAGTCACTTCCACATAAAGAGAGTGTTTGCAAGTATGTGAGTGTTGTGAAAAAGAGTTGCCATTTAGCCGATTTCTGAAATAATCGTCTTATCCAACTAAGTTTTGAAGAATCTATAAACAACCTTATATTAACCATTTTTAGACCCCCTTCAAAATAATTCTGAGTTAAGATATCTCTTTTTATTTTGTCTACCTTACTATTCCACATGAAGTTGTACAGAATAGAGTTGAAATTTTGCAAGAAATGTTCCTCAGGATTAGGTATAGATATAAATAAGTGATTTAATTGTGAAAGTAGTAAAGATTTAATTAAAACAATTTTCCCAATCGGTGTGAGACATCTTTTACTCCAGGATTTAATTATCATTTTCAGTTTCATTAGTTTTTTTATCATAGTTTAATTTTGGAATTTCATGCAAGTTCACACTGAAACACAAAACGATAAATTTAACAAATGTAGTCGATAGGTTATACCTCACAGTGCAAATTACAGACTCAAATAGAAATTAATTTACATTTATATAGTATCCATAGATAAATTAGAATTGTCGCTAAATATGTATGATGTTAAAAAGAATTGAACTTTTATCAGTGGTTGTATTTGGATATAGATCACTATAAATCTGGTTATATATAGACGATAATCTATCGATTTGATGGCCTAGACAAAGATTGTCTAAAAGGTTAACAACAAGTGCGCGTCTTAATTTACAAGATAAGCGATCTATAATTGAAAACAGCCGAAGACAAGAAATGTAACCAGGATATAGACATATATCTCTCATTTATCATATTGATTTGATAGTATCTCAGCCAGAAAAAATTAATACCTAAAAACAGTTTTAATAAAAAAAAAAAAAAAAAAAAATGCCTGTTCTGCTTGAATTAACACTGAAAATTAAAGTTGGCTCAATGTAATGAAGTTTATCAAAGCAACAATAAATTTGTCAATAAGATTCTAATTCAAATACAAATTCGATGAAACTAGTCCAATTTATGAAAAAAAACAAAAAAACAAAACAAAAACAAAAACAAAAAACAAAAAAAACAACAAAAACAAAAACAAGAAAAAAAAACAAAAAATCTCTCTCTCTCTCTCTCTCTCTCCCTCTCCCTCTCTCTCTCTCTCTCTCTCTCTCTCTCTCTCTCCCTCTCTCTCTCTGTGTGTGCATCCTTCGATCCTTCGAACCATCCCCGATACTCCAGGAGTCACGCTCACTATCGCTCTCTCTACACCCCTGCAACACTACAGGGCGAAATTGAATGAACAAGTGAAGTAATTTCGTTGGTCTAGAGAGGGTTTAAGAAAAAAAAATTTACCAATCTTTGAAGGTTATAAATGAACGACACCCAACCTCAAAGCTAGCACAACACACCCGTTATTCGACCTCGAAATTCGTTTGATGTAAGTAAAACCTCTGGAGCATCGCAGATGCTTTCAATACAAATTCAGAATTAGACACAAAAAGCCAAACATTTATAAAATTATATCACGCGATTGTTTCGTGTTTCTAAAACACCTCAGTGATGTCAAATGCCTATAGTGGTTGCCATCATAGACTAAATACAAAGTTTTGTTTTTTCGTGTTGAAACTGACTTGATAGTTTTGCATACAACGCAGTGGCATTTCCGGTGTTTTATTTACGATGAAAACCTACATGAAATTAGTCAGTGATTCTGGGACTTTTGCTAATTTCTTGTATTGTTGCATGAATAATTCTAAGTTCGATGCGTTAATTCATCCTGTTCACATTGATAAACATATTTTGGAATCCTATACCTAAGTCATGAAATGGTTGACAGTTCCTATGGGACTATTTTTTCATTTTCTTTTGCTACTTACAACAAGAATGACATCAGTCTCTCCACTCATCAAGATATCTAATTCTCGTATGATAACATATACAACACGCTCGGTGATCCCTATCATAATTGCAGCTATTCGGCTGCGACGACTGCAAGCCAGTGTAATCATCCATTCTCACTATGGACCTCGGGTTTAGCGGACAGGTACAAAAGACGGGTACAGACATATATATGTACTAGATCTACGCGGAGGACGGAGGTTTTGTGTCATTCTCAGCGTTACAGCATATATACACCATCTGTGACCACTGAAAACTGGACAATTATTCGACCGAACACTATGGTAAGGAATATTTACCTTCCAATTTCACCAGTAAATTTCTATATCTAGTATTATGATAGGAAGGTTATGTCCTATTGGAAACTATCCAACAATGAGATAACATAAGCATGTAGATATGAAAATATAGGCAGCGATAAATTTATCTTCCTTAGATCGATCAACATAATTAATAAATTATAGAAATGAATGTATATGTCAACATTCACCAAAACTAAATGGTGCAAGTTACTATGAAAGCGGATATTAAGCGCATAAAGGAAGTGTACATATTGTAAAATAAACGTTATGTAATATGACAGAACCATTTCTTTCTTCTTCTTTCGCACTGAAAGGAACTAAGGTATGTGATTCATGCCTTCGTTGTTTTAATATTTAAACCTAGATACATATGCTCCTATAAAATAGACATTAATTACAAGCACACATACTTATAGGCATTCCTGTTTGACACCTGCATAAACACATGACATTTAAAAATAAAAATTACGAAAGTGAGAATGAAAGAGAGTAGATAAATATCAAACATTGTCAACCTTGGTGCTAAAAATGAAATGGGTCTTTGAGATTGTAAATATGTATATACTAATGTGACATCTGATATATGTATCCGCTATATATACAGGACTGTTAACGTAGACTACGATGTACAATGTAATACATTAAGTCACTATTTAGAAAGGATTTCTATTGTAGACTATGATGTACAATGTGATATAATGTGATATATTTAGTCACTATTTAGAAAGGATTTCTACTGTAGACTATGATGTACAATGTGATACAATGTGATATATTTAGTCACTATTTAGAAAGGATTTCTACTGTAGATTATGATGTACAATGTGATATATTTAGTCACTCTTTAGAAAGGATTTCTACAGTAGACTATGATGTACAATGTGATACATTTTGTCACTATTTAGAAAGGATTTCTACTGTAGACTATGATGTACAATGTGATATATTTAGTCACTATTTAGAAAGGATTTCTACAGTAGACTATGATGTACAATGTGATACAATGTGATATATTTAGTCACTATTAAGTAAGGATTTCTACTGTAGACTATGATGTACAATGTAATACATTTAGTCACTATTTAGAAAGGATTTCTACTGTAGACTATGATGTACAATGTGATACATTTTGTCACTATTTAGAAAGGATTTCTACTGTAGACTATGATGTACAATGTGATATATTTAGTCACTATTTAGAAAGGATTTCTACTGTAGACTATAATGTACAATGTGATACAATGTGATATATTTAGTCACTATTTAGAAAGGATTTCTACTGTAGACTATGATGTACAATGTGATACATTTAGTCACTATTTAGAAAGGATTTCTACTGTAGACTATGATGTACAATGTGATACATTTAGTCACTATTTAGAAAGGATTTCTACTGTAGACTATGATGTACAATGTGATACATTTAGTCACTATTTAGAAAGGATTTCTACTGTAGACTATGATGTACAATGTGATACATTTAGTCACTATTTAGAAAGAATTTCTACTGTAGACTATGATGTACAATGTGATACATTTAGTCACTATTTAGAAAGGATTTCTACAGTAGACTATGATGTACAATGTGATACATTTAGTCACTATTTAGAAAGGATTTCTACTGTAGACTATGATGTACAATGTGATATATTTAGTCACTATTTAGAAAGAATTTCTAAGGTAGGCTATGATGTACAATGTGATACATTTAGTCACAATTTAAAAAGAATTTCTACTGTAGACTATGATGTACAATGTGATATGTTTAGTCACTATTTAGAAAGGATTTCTACTGTAGACTATGATGTACAATGTGATACATTTAGTCACTATTTAGAAAGGATTTCTACTGTAGACTATGATGTACAATGTGATACATTTATTCACTATTTAGAAAGGATTTCTACTGTAGACTATGATGTACAATGTGATATATTTAGTCACTATTTAGAAAGGATTTCTACTGTAGACTATGATGTACAATGTGATATATTTAGTCACTATTTAGAAAGGATTTCTACTGTAGACTATGATGTACAATGTGACACATTTAGTCACTATTTAGAAAGAATTTCTACTGTAGACTATGATGTACAATGTGATATATTTAGTCACTATTTAGAAAGGATTTCTACTGTAGACTATGATGTACAATGTGATACAATGTGATATATTTAGTCACTATTTGGAAAGGATTTCTACTGTAGACTATGATGTACAATGTGATACATTTAGTCACTATTTAGAAAGGATTTCTATTGTAGACTATGATGTACAATGTGATATATTTAGTCACTATATAGAAAGGATTTCTAGTGTAGACTATGATGTACAATGTGATACATTTAGTCACTATTTAGAAAGAATTTCTAAGGTAGGCTATGATGTACAATGTGATACATTTAGTCACTATTTAGAAAGGATTTCTACTGTAGACTATGATGTACAATGTGATATATTTAGTCACTATTTAGAAAGGATTTCTACTGTAGACTGTAATGTACAATGTGATACAATGTGATATATTTAGTCACTATTTAGAAAGAATTTCTACTGTAGACTATGATGTACAATGTGATACATTTAGTCACTATTTAGAAAGGATTTCTACTGTAGACTATGATGTACAATGTGATACAATGTGATATATTTAGTCACTATTTAGAAAGGATTTCTACTGTAGACTATGCTGTACAATGTGATACATTTAGTCACTATTTAGAAAGGATTTCTACTGTAGACTATGATGTACAATGTGATACATTTAGTCACTATTTAGAAAGGATTTCTACTGTAGACTATGATGTACAATGTGATATATTTAGTCACTATTTAGAAAGGATTTCTACTGTAGACTATGATGTACAATGTGATATATTTAGTCACTATTTAGAAAGGATTTATACTGTAGACTATGATGTACAATGTGACACATTTAGTTACTATTTAGAAAGAATTTCTACTGTAGACTATGATGTACAATGTGATATATTTAGTCACTATTTAGAAAGGATTTCTACTGTAGACTATGATGTACAATGTGATACAATGTGATATATTTAGTCACTATTAGGAAAGAATTTCTACTGTAGACTATGATGTACAATGTGATACATTTAGTCACTATTTAGAAAGGATTTCTACTGTAGACTATGATGTACAATGGGATACAATGTGATATATTTAGTCACTATTAGGAAAGAATTTCTACTGTAGACTATGATGTACAATGTGATACATTTAGTCACTATTTAGAAAGGATTTCTACTGTAGATTATGATGTACAATGTGATACATTTAGTCACTATTTAGAAAGGATTTCTACTGTAGACTTTGATGTACAAAGTAATATTATTAAGTGTTTGATATCCACTTAATTGTTATTTTGAAAAGATTTTAATGTAGATTCTGATGTTCAACGTAACACTTCATTTTAAAAGTATTTTTAATTTAAAGTTTGATGTAGCATGTACTGTTTAGAGTGGATTTGTTATGTAGATTTACATATATACATTACTCTACAAGTCTTTACAATAAAAATACTGTTTTACCTTATCATTACATGTCAGCAGTGTTATGTTAACAGCGTTGTAAAGAAATACTATACCATACAATAAAAACAGGTTTATTAAAAATGGAAAAACATTTTGTTATAAGAAACTATGTGTAAATCTGTCAATCCATAATTCCGTATGACAATGAATTGAAAAGTTTGGAACAAAAAGAAAATGTCCAATTGATATGGAGGGTATTGATTTCACTTACAACTGTTGTCTTCAGATTAGTTCTTTTCTGTAGTCGAAAGAAAGTGGTCCGTATCTATATAATTTTGTTTAATATGACGAATTCCTCGGGCAAGTTTTACCGAACATACACAGATAAGCAAATAGAATTTGCTTGCATCTTGTGATTCCATGGATTCGCGGATCGAATTAATTCATTAAATGCTGATAATTACACATCTATATTAAAATAAAATCCATACCACACATTTCACGGGAACAAACACTTGGGTATTTACCAGTCGACTTGAAATGGAAGTCCGATGGGACACTTCCAGCCACACAGTAATAAAGCCACATGTTTATCCATATTGATTTATCAGAGCCCAATACGACATACATTCTATAACTAACAAAGCCTAAAATTTGATAATATAATTCATGGAATGGTTCACCTGTTATCTACAGTAATTAGCATACCTTTATATGTCGGGTAAATTGGTAGTTTCTAATACTAAGGAGAGGTTCAATAATACAGGTGTATTTGGGAGGGAACAAAAACAGCTGTTCAAATGTCTCTTTCTTGTTACCGATATACGATGTCATGAAACTTTTATCAACTATGTGCGCTTTATTAAGGATATATGGACTCAAACGCCCAATCTCTTGAAACATTCTGTTCGTGTAATGACTTTTGACAGGTTAGATGATAGGAAGTATTAAAACAAAATCTCACTGTACTTCTTTTACCGCCACAGTCGTCAAAATATGTATGATGGGAAATGTGTAATTCCCCAATTTTCGTTTATTTTTTCCTGTTTTTTTTTTTCCCGCGAATGTGATCTTATTTATTCTCGAGGCGACCTTTGTTTCCAACAACTTTCTGTCTTCGTTCAAAACGCAAAAGAATAATACTGGGGTAATAAGCAAAAAAGGTCTCAGAATGCTAATTGAATTTCGAGAAAAAAAGTAATAAAACGTTATAATTCACATGTTTTTAAATTCAACTTTTTTCAAGACTTCATGCTTTGAAAGAAAAATGTTTGGGAATTATTTTCATATTTAAAAATAGATCATTCACATTTGTAAAATTTTTTTTTCATGTTGATATTCTGTTGTTCTTTTGTAGCATGGACACGTTCATCTCTGCTTGAGAGAATTTTGTATTGAGAAATACGGCAGGGAACAGTGGGAGAAAGTGCTGTAAGTACGAGCAAACCACAGCTTAAATTCTATGTATAAAACATTTGGATTATTTTACAAATGAAGCATTTAACTACCACTAGACAATGATTCCAATATACCCGAGATACATTTGTATTGTGATGATTTATGTGGAAAAAACTCCTATTAACATGTACATTTATGATACATAAAAACTGATAAAAAAAACCGATGTACTAAAGAAAAAAGATAATGAAAAATGAACGATTATCCGCGTGCCTACAATCAACTCAACAGACCATGGAACACTCTTCACTTCTAGGAAATAACGGATATTGAAATAATACATAGCAACGAGAGTATCAATAAAAGTAATATATATATACGATCTCGTTACAGGAAGGCAGCGAACCTCGACGATGATAACGACTTCATGTTGTTTCATTACTATAAAGATGACAACACATTCAAATTGGTCGGAGCAATACAGAGTGTCGTGGGTAAGTATTTTACATTAATTACATTGATTATAAAGACCTCTTCTGTCCTAAATAGAACATAAAGGACGCTAACCCTCCCAAACTCCTGGTCTTTCTCTTCTTCTACTGTTTCCATGGTTTCTATATTTTCCATGTGAATGTTTCTTTCGTTTGTTTCGTCGATCTTGTGTTTGAATAAGATTTTAATATAATTGTTGAATTTTAACCACTGCTGTAGAATAATTTGGCTTGAATTGGAAATGTAGTAAAAATATTTTTTAAAAAAAAAGCGCGCTTGGAAACCTTCGCATGAGGATTTACTTCATTAATGCACATTTTCGAGGTTTCTTATCTATGTCCAAGATCTTGGATGAATATAAGTACGTTAGTGTGTTAGTCCGTTATTACAGGTACTGGTGTAGATAGTACTTACCGCATGACATCACTCAATTTATACTAATGAATTGATTGGAATTCAGAAAATGAAAACACCTACCCATTATGTACTTCAACTTACGGAGTAAAATATCGCACTCCATTACAGCTAATGGTTAATGATTTTAAGTACCTCTGAAAGCTCTGATCACAACAGGCTATAATTCCGTAAACAGGTGTGGCTATTTCCGGGATGACTCTATACTGATGATACCTTACATACTTCTCAGCTAATTGGGCCATATTTGATCAGAAATAATATACATATATAAGAAAGTATCCGCACAAATTGACAGAAACTAATTACTTTAATACCAAGCCAATGGAAATCCTGTAGATATTGAGCCCTGTGTAATGATTACAGTTATGAAGGAACTACTGCAAGCAAGTAGTAATTACATGAGGTGATCACACGTGATATGATATTTTTTATCAGTATTAGACACAATGCCTATATTATCATTATTGAATAGGGGATTTACCTCAGGATGATAAGGATTCCTACACAATCTTCTTCACCATTGACCGTTTATTATTTTATGACCTTGCCGGAATGCAAAACTTTTGCAATCAATATCGACTCTCATTGACTTTTTAGAAACCATTTAGATATTGAAATCTTACTTGACCATGTCTAATGACAATTTTCTATTTTATTTATAAATTAATTAATCTTGCTACTTTTCCCCTTCAATACCTATTCTGTGTTCCGTAGTAAATGTGTTCCGTAGACACAAAATCTGATGTGTGACTGTTGTTTATTAGCGGACTATGAGAATTTATTGAAAGGAAATGTCGAAAGTAATGAAGATTTACAAAACAATGACAGCAACGGTGTAGAATCCTCGATATTGTACTGAAATATCAATACTACTGTGATTCTGATGTTAATTTGGATCGCAGCATCAATATTAAATTCATTCAGAATACTGTATATCTCAGAACCTAGGGTTAGTGACCGCTTGAGTAGGATGTTTATGACTGTGATCTTTATATAACATTATAGTAGAGAGGAAATAATCCACGAAGACTCGCGACAAATGGGATATAGAATAAACTGTGATATCAACTATCACAAATTATCAATTTGATAAACATTTTTTGCATTAAGTAGTGATTTAAGACTTTATCGTCGCTAGTGATGAGTTAACATTTGATATAGAATTTCAGCACGAGACAAATGGAGACTGTTTATTGGTTGTCTTGCCGCGCCATTCTTCATACACTATAAATAACCGGTGTATTTCATATTTAATATATTTTATTGGAATTTTGTTAGCAGTTTATAAATAAAACAAGAGCTGTCCAGATTGGAACTGCCTTGTTTCCAAGCTCATCGTCAACAGAATACAATAACATTCATCACTGCCACTCGTTTTTTTACGACAAACATAAATGACACATACATGAATTACAGTATGAAATATGCATTGACTAAGATCGAACGTAATTTGACCAATAACATGTGATACAAATCTTTTTCGGTCCTTGAGTCATAAAAATAGTAGTTTTTGCATTTTTTCAAACTAGAGACATCTGTCGCTATTTTTCATTACTCCTTCCTATTACAAAAGTTAGGTAGAAGGTAAGATCGATATTGAGACGCTTACTTTGATATCAGAAAGTTTGTTGTTGTTTTTTGGGTCAACGACGGATGGAGTAGTGCAAACGTTAGCTTCAGCTAGTGGAAATTTCCATTTAGTAAAGCGCCATGTTGTGTCAAAGAAGGGTCGCTATTTCGAATCCCAGCTGGGGCAAAGCATTTTCCTTCCTATTACACTAAACTATTTTCCTGACGCCGTGATTATTATCTAAACTGCTATCATCTATATTTAGGTATCGACTTACCCCAGCTTCTGGAGTCCTACGGTCGCCATTTTTATATGTACGCCTATTCCCGTGGATATGACCGTATGATGAAGACATTGGGACGCGACTTTTATTCCTTCGTCCAGAACCTCGATCTGCTTCATTCGTTATTGGCACTCACCTACAAGGGCATGCGTCCTCCACAGTTTCGGTAGGTTGTCATATAGCAAGGGCATGCGTCCTCCACAGTACCGGTAGGTTGTCATATAACAGGGGCATGCGTACTCCACAGTTCCGGTAGGTTGTCATATAACAAGGGCATGCGTCCTCCACAGTTCCGGTAGGTTGTCCTATAGCAGGGGCTTGCGTCCTCAACAGTTCCAGTAGGTTGTCATATAACTATATGATTCATACACAAATATAACTTACTGATGAGTTTTAAAAGTGTCAAGTAACTAGTTTAAGTCCAAACACAGCCAGAATTGTTGAGCTTTTGTATTTCACTGTTTGAGAAGATGTTACATTTGATATGATCGATGGTGGTGTATCCTTAATAAAACGCACAAATCAAACAAGGAACCAACGATATACTATAACAAGTATGTTATGTCTGTAAGGTTCGATACTTCAACGATAAACTATAACTAGTATGTTATGTCTGTAAGGTTCGATACTTCAACGGTAAACTATAACTAGTATGTTATGTCTGTTAGGTTCGAGTTACTTCTCGACAGGAACTTTCAATATAAATTTTATGTTACCCACTATTGTTATGGATTCCAGATCAATTTATTTCAGTCGAGGGCCGAAATTCGGTAACCAAATTTCATTCGAGTCGAGACTGAGAGTGAGATGTTACACAATGTCAACACTCACACATATACGGACCTTAGATTCTATTTCTCGTTTTTTATGATTAGAATAAACTAATTTCCAAACTTTTTTCATTGGTGAATTTTTCGATTCCGTTGGATTACCTCCTTTTTTCGGTGATGCATCGGAAAGGAAATTGAATACGACGCTAGTTTGATTATGACGTCGTATTACAACAGATTTCGCGTGAAGGTACCAGACATGGATTGGACTAGACAAGAAAATCTAATCTCTTCCAGAGTTGTCGTTCTTTAACAGTCAAACACAGGGCACCGGAACGCACTCTAGAGCTGAGTAGCGCGAGAGATTTACCTTTTTCATGTACCAGAATTGTACTGTTTAAGGACAGATGATTCTATGTTGTTAGGTGTGAGAGGAAGAACAACAAGTTGTTGGTACACGTGTACACTGTGAGGCCAGCGATGTATCCAGTCGCAGTTGGTAAGTATTAGTTATACTAGCAATTTCTTCTCACATAAAAAAATCCTCCCACGAAACAGAGAAATTTGAAATAAAATCATTGGGATGGAAATTCAATCAATACATAATTGTCCTTTGAACATTTGAATCTGAATCATATGTTTCAAAACTTTCCACTTTTGACAGGTACATTAAAGGAGGTTGCTAAGCAACTGTTTGATACAGAAATTGAGATGGAACTTGTTGAAAGACTGACGGGAGAAATTTTCGAATCAAAATTTTGTGAACATGTAATTTTCGACGTTAAAGTAATTGGTGTAGACCGGGGAATAGGGATCAATGTTTCCAAAACTCGCAACTGCAGTGTTGTTTTGGATAAAGGAATCCGGCCTGAAGATCTGGACAGGTACATGGATAATCAGATGATCAGTCTACCGCGGCGAAGTTTACATCTCGCTATCCCCTACAGTGTCATCTTTAACGAGAAAATGCACATCCTCGGGGCTGGTCTACATTTGAAAACTCTGTGCTCAGACCTAGAAAAGACCAACATTAAGTTTAACGATGTTTTCGAGATCAAGGAACCAAGCGTGACTCTATCGTTCAACAACATCATGAATTGTTCGAACACATACATGTACTTTTTCCTGCAATTGAAGCCAAGAAAGGACAAAAACAACGTAGAAGAGGAGTGTCCGTTACTTCGAGGTACGACTGTGTAAAAATCTACAATGCGGTACGAAATGATAACAGTCCGTTACTATGCGGTACGGCATGGTAAAAGTCCGTTACTATGCGGTACGAAATGATAACAGTCCGTTACTATGCGGTACGGCATGATAAAAGTCCGTTACTATGCGGTACGAAATGATAACAGTCCGTTACTATGCGGTACGGCATGGAAAAAGTGCGTTACTATGCGGTACGGAATGGTAAAAATCCGTTACTATGCGGTATGGCATGGTAAAAGTCCGTTACTATGCGGTACGGAATGTAAAAGTGCGTTACTGTGTGGTACGGAATGGTAAAGTCCGTTACTGTGCGGTACGAAATGGTAACAGTCTGTTACTTTGCGGTACGGCATGGTAAACGTCCGTTACTATGCGGTACGGAATGGTAAAAGTCCGTTACTATGCGGTACGGAATGGTAAAAGTCCGTTACTATGTGGTACGAAATGGTAAAAGTTCGTTACTATGCGGTACGGCATGGTAAACGTCCGTTACTATGCGGTAAGGCAAGGAAACGTCCGTTACTCTGCGGTACGGAATGGTAAAAGTCTATTACTACGAGGTAAGAATAAATGAAATCCGTTACTCCAAAGTTAGATTGTGTAATAGCCTGTTATTCCGAGGCAAAAATGTGTAATAATCCGTTACTCCGAGGTAAGAATGTGATATAGTCCGTTATTCCGAGGTAAGAATGTGTAATAGCCCGTTATACTGAGGTAAGAATGTGAAATAGTCCGTTATACTGAGGTAAGAATGTGAAATAGCCCGTTATACTGAGGTAAGAATGTGAAATAGTCCGTTATACTGAGGCAAAAAATAATCCGTTATTCCGAGGCAAGAATGTGAAATAGTCCGTTATACTAAGGTAAGAATGTGAAATAGTCCGTTATACTGAGGTAAGAATGTGTAATAGTCCGTTATTCCGAGGTAAGAATGTGAAATAGTCCGTTATACTGAGGTAAGAATGTGAAATAGTCCGTTATTCTGAGGTAATAATGTGTAATAGCCCGTTATACTAAGGTAAGAATGTGAAATAGTCCGTTATACTGAGGTAAGAATGTGTAATAGTCCGTTATTCCGAGGTTAGAATGTGAAATAGTCCGTTATACTGAGGTAAGAATGTGAAATAGTCCGTTATACTGAGGCAAAAAATAATCCGTTATTCCGAGGCAAGAATGTGAAATAGTCCGTTATACTGAGGTAAGAATGTGTAATAGTCCGTTATTCCGAGGTAAGAATGTAATATAGTCCGTTATACTGAGGTAAGAATGTGAAATAGTCCGTTATACTGAGGTAAGAATGTGTAATAGTCCGTTATTCCGAGGTAAGAATGTGAAATAGTCCGTTATACTGAGGTAAGAATGTGAAATAGTCCGTTGTTCCGAGGTAAGAATGTGAAATAGTCCGTTATACTGAGGCAAGAATGTGAAATAGTCCGTTATACTGAGGTAAGAATGTGAAATAGCACGTTACTCCGAGGTAAGAATGTGAAATAGTCCGTTATTCCGAGGTAAGAATGTGAAATAGTCCGTTATACTGAGGCAAGAATGTGAAATAGCCTCTTATTCCGAGTTATGGAGTGGTTTTCGGGTTATTGTAAAAGAAGTCAAAACGCGGCAACAAAAAAGAAAACCGTTGATGTTTCATGTTTAGCGTTTATCTGGGTCATATTTTGGACTCACATTTATTTCATATGCTACACATGCTGATATCGGGGAAATGAGAAACTCTATATTTATAGCAAAGCTGGACAATTTATACACATTTCTGATCCATGGAGTAAAGATTCTGTCTAGTCCTCTATTGATTCAGTCATGTTTACAAAATCTGAAGGGTTACTTTTAGGATAATTAGTCTCTTGGTGAGTGACATGTTGTCCAGTTTATTGGTTTGATATTGGTTACATAAACCGTCACCCACGGGATCATTGGTGCCAGAGTATCTAGGAAGCTTTACATCTGGAATTATTGGTCTCCATGTAATGTGGTTTTGATGAAATAAATGTCTGATTGTGCTCATAAGCCACGAACAATCTGCTGAGTGTGATTACACTTGTTTATATAAGGCACGATGGGAAATTAACTACTTTTAAAAAGTTGTACCTATACATGACGGGGTCTTAAGATATTCACCTGCCGAGAATTTGGTATAGAGGATTAAACGGAAGACAACATTATAGATGTGAGATGAAAATCATGAATGGTAAATTGTAATAATATATTTTACACAAAAACAGAGCGCAACTTTTTCCGATATTAACATAAATAAATAGATAAATACATGATAAATAAATAAATAATATGAAGAATTAGACCATGTTGGATTTTTGTATCAGGTCATATGATTCCCCTGGAGAACAGGAAACATATTGCCTTCCTTGGCAGTCCATTCTTTGAGAGCATCAGCGACCTGTTAGCGTCCACGTGTTACTTAAACAATATCCCACAGGATCAAATCACCATGGAGATCATGTTTATGAATGAACAGCGAAGAGCCGATGTGGAAATGAGGTCAGTAATGTTTAAAAATGATAAAGTAGGAAAATAATGGCGACCTTGTCACTGAATTTCTTATCCTATTACGGTAGTAGTGTAGCAGAATATAAGATGATATGGTTATAATCCGATCTATATTACCTTAATGTTAGTATTACGTTCGCTTAATGTTTCTTATATCTTAAAGAAATATCAACGTATAGCTATAATGTTGAATGTTAATAGTAAGAAGTTAGACGAGACCAACGCAAAAATATCAGCGTATATCTATAATGTTGAATGTTAATAGTAAGAAGTTAGACGAGACCAACGCAAAAATATCAGCGTATAGCTATAATGTTGAATGTTAATAGTAAGAAGTTAGACGAGACCAACGCAAAAATATCAGCGTATATCTATAATGTTGAATGTTAATAGTAAGAAGTTAGACGAGACCATAGCTATAATGCAAAAATATCAGCGTATATCTATAATGTTGAATGTTAATAGTAAGAAGTTAGACGAGACCACCGCAAAAATATCAGCGTATATCTATAATGTTGAATGTTAATAGTAAGAAGTTAGACGAGACCAACGCAAAAATATCAGCGTATATCTATAATGGTGAATGTTAATAGTAAGAAGTTAGACGAGACCACTGCAAACATGAAAAAGTTGGCCAGTGCTCTCGAAGAGGAAAAGAAAAAGACCGACACACTTTTGTATGAGATGTTGCCCGTAAAGGTGGCCAACCAGTTACGGAATGGAGAAGTGGTATCCGCGGGTAAGATTGGAAGTCGGTTAGACCAAAGTAAAAATAATTTGAAATATCACTAAATAAATCGATAATACATTTTTTCAAAACAAATATAAATAAAATCTTGCATATGACGTCAACTACTTGTGGTTTTATAATTGATGAAAGAATTCTTTAATTTTATAAGGTTTTTTTAGGTAGTGAATAATGTCTACAGTTTTTCAAAACACGAACGAAGTGAGTTGCCAAAAATGACATTTTTCTGTGCTGATATTGCAATTGTTTCTTGAAATTTTTATTTGTTAATATTATATGCTTGAATTCTTTTTGAAATTTGGAAATGTTGAGATGATCGATAATTAAAACTTTACCACTGTGATCAAAATACGGGGTTGATAAGCATTCCCTTTAATATCAATTATCTGTTTAAATCGTCTTTTTTGGGAATTGAATTTTATTCATTTACGTGGAGGCTACTGTGTTACTTTGTTAAATGCATCAACCATTACTTTTAACCACTAGAGAAGCACGAGTGTGTCACCATCCTGTTCAGCGATATTGTGACGTTTACCAACATGGCTGCCAAATGTGAGCCTATTGAAATCGTTGCTCTGCTGAATGACCTATTTATGAGATTTGACAATTTGTCGACGGAATATGACGTATACAAGGTAAGGCAACTTGTCTTTCTTACTACCTCAGTCAACATGAGTATATCAAGTTACAATAAAGTTACAAACGAGAAATGAGAAATATCGCATCTGTAATTCCCCCCAAATAAGCTGTTTGGGGTTGTTTACTGATCCTTGTATCAGACGGGATATTTGATAATCAGACAGTGTCATTTTACTTCTATCTGACAATCATGAGAAAGCGCGTCTTCGATAAGTCTTTCTTTTTTATCGAAATTGGTTAGGTTGAAACCATTGGCGATGCATATATGGTTGTTTCGGGAGTTCCGGAACCTATTGTTGATCATGCGCAGAGAATTGCAACCATGGGGCTAGGAATGATAGCGGAAACAGACCGTGTTATTTCCCCCGTCACAGGTCGTCCAATACAGGTAAGAACAACACATTAAAGGACGTCTATCACAATTATAAGACAGAGTGTGATTAGAAACTGTTTAAAATTACATAATAGTTAATTGTTTATAAAACTTAGAAAAGATAGGAACGCTTTTTGGTGGTGGTGTTATGATCTTTTCAACCAATAACATACTTCCAAAACGCAGGCTTGACATTGAATCACCAAACGACGAAATAATTTGGCTTGAATTTTGTTCTGATAATAAGAAATATCTTTTATGTGTATTATATACGGAGAGGAAAAAGAAACGCAATTAGGAATTTCCAGGTCAACTACGAGAACTAGAAAAGGGTTTTAGAATGTAATTATGGTGTAACTTGAAGATAGTTAACCACTCTCTCATCTACGAGAATTCATAGCGGGAAATACTTGTCCTTTGAGATATATACAGAGTTACTGTTCTTGGCGAGTGAACAGTTTCTTGTGCATGAAAGCCCGAGTTTGTTGAGTTTTCCGTCCGTTGTTCGCTATCGATGAAAAATTAACTCTATTACTTTCGGCGAATTATAGTTGAAGTATTCATGAAAATGTACAATTAATTTCTAATTTAAAAGCAAACGGAATTTCACCGTCAAAAAAGGTTATCGTGAAGTCAGGAGAAAGTCTTGCAGGGGTTCCCCTGGTTTCGTGTTTATAACTTTTCTTTTTCTCAGCCAATCGCATTTTACTTTTAAAATGACGTAGGACGATTATCCATCATCTTATTATACCAACCAATGAAATCGCTTGAATAAAGCAAATGTCGTCATTTCGATCTAATTTAGAGTCGGGAAATTCCAACAAAGGGAATTTCTTACCCCGGTATTTGTCACGACAAATTCCAGAGCTTCGCATGCTAAAATATGAACGCATATGAGTTTTGAATAATTTCTTGATATAAAAACAGTACACTTACTTGACAATAAACGAGAAAGAACTTACGAATAACATGAAACTGTGTCTCCGTCCGGGCGACGAATTCGGCTTGAGCGGGTTCCTATCATGCTTAGCGTTGTAGTCAAGAACGATAACTCAATACCGCTTCAAGTTCGCGGGAGTGTTAATATTTCACGATATGCATTCGTGTACGTTAAGTAAACCTTTCAAATTTAACGTTGATTCAAGAGTACCCCACTCAAAATGAAGTGCGTTCTGGACCCATCAATATCGTGTGTGCCCCCCGCGAGCTGCAGTAACTGCACGAACTCTTTTGTGCATTGAATTGATCGGAGTATTAACTCTCCTCATTGGTATTCGATTCCATTCCTCATCCAGCGCCAACGCCAACTGAGCGAAGTTGATTGGAGGATTCGGTCTACGTCTTATCCATCTGTCCAACTCGTCCCATAAATGTTCTATTGGAGAGAAGTCAAGGCTGTATAGGGGCCAGTCTAGGGTGGGGACATTGTTAGCTGCGAGATAACCACGGCAAATCCTCGCTACATGCGGCCGGGCGTTGTCCTGCTGAAACGTCAGTTGACGCTGCTGTACTAGAGGAACAACATGCGGCGCTAGGACTTGATCTCTATAGCGGACGGCCGTGAGATTTCCCTGAATAACGACCAGAAGAGTCTTGATACCATGCGCAATCCCCATACCATGACCGATCCTCCTCCAAAGCAGTCATTCTCTATCACGCAAGCATCTGCATAGCACTCGTGGGCACGTCTATAGACAGACGTCGGCGGTCTTGAAGGTAAAGCGAAAACCTGGACTCATCTGAGAACAGGACGCTTCTCCAACGTTGCATTGAGTAGCGTCTTTCGGAATGTGCGTTCAGCCATTGCATTTGTCTGGCACGTCGCCGCGCATTAAGCTGTGGTCCAAAATATGGCCGCAGCGGTCTTAGACCGAAGGCACGCAGTCGAGTACGCACTGTCGCATTGCCCTATCCTGCCGACGCGTCGTCACACGAGGGCGATTGCTTCGGGGACGGTCTGCAACCCTTCCGGTGGCATGTAGTCTTTGCCTGAGACGGCAAATGTTCGACGGATGGACTCCAAATTGATAAGCGACCTGATTTTGCGGGGTACCTTGCATAAGAAGTGCAATGGCACGACCCTTGTCAACATCGGACAGTCGTGGCATTTGTTACGGTGAACTGTTTATGCTTAAAATGTGGGAAATCAAGACGGATATGTCTGAAGATTCGCACACACAGATTTTGAACCAATCCTTTATACTGGGATCGAGATATCGTGCTTTTGTCTTTTATTCTTTTGTACAAGCTGCGTGCGCAGTTTAGTTATGCATTAGTGATTTTAATACGGTATCATAGGGACCTATCTCAAATGCATACATTTGTCAAGTTTCAAGGGTGTACGTCAAAGATTTAATTTACAATATTAACTTTCTGCTAATCGCGTTTCATTTTCCTCTCAGTATCTAAGCCTCCATGGCAAAACTCTAACTCTGGAATTTGGACACGGCTGAAACATTCTCTTGATATAGCCTTTGATTATACACCTCATATTATACTGACAGGGGATACTAACATTAACTTACTTACTGGAAATAACAATGATCTCACCTTCCTTAAACAACAATATAATTTAACTAACCTAGTAACAAGTCCGACTAGAGTAACAAACACTACACAATCTTTCATCGATCCATTTTATATTAGTGATACTATATCCTCCGATTCATCCATCGTTGTACCTGTTCTGAAAGCTGTAAGTGATCACAGAGCTATCATTGTGTCTCTATTGTCCTATCAACCAAAACCGAAATCTTTTTAAAATATGGTTATACATTAGCGCAGATAATTCAACCCTTAAAGCTGAAGTTAGACATGTAAACTGGGTAAATTTGTTTTCCGTCACTGATGATGTGAGCGAGAAATGTGTTTTATTCATGGAAAAACTTACTTCCATTTTAGAGAAACATATTCCTAAAAAACTTATAACTGTAAATAAAAATGACAAACCATGGGTGAACGGAGATATAAAAAAAAGAAATTAAGCGGAGAAATAAATTAAGGAAGTATTTTATCCGAGTTAAAACTGCACATTCAGAAGCTAACAGTTCAGCTAATCCGAAAGTATACTGCAAACTAATTCGCATGCTCTCAAAAGGTAACACTTCTACCGACATACCTCGCTTACTAAATCCTGCTAACAACCACTTAACTACGGATGACTATATAAAATCCAATATCTTAAATAACTTCTTTAAATCTGTCTCTGACCTTGATGACCCCGATGACGTCACACCCTACTTTAACTTTACAGCTGACTCTTCTCTTACTGATATTGAAATTTTTAATCAACGAATCGTTTCGTACTTCTGTTTTTCCTGATTCGTGGAAACTTGCTTACGTGACACCTATATTCAAAAAGGGGGAACCTGAATTGGCAAATAACTACAGACCTATTTCTTTACTTAGCTGCATCGGCAAACTTTTTGAACGGATAATCCATAAACATCTTTACAACTATCTTTTCACTAATAATCTTCTATACAAACTACAATCCAGCTTCTTGCCAAATCATTCTACGACTCACCAACTTATTGAACTCTACCATAATATACTTTTAGCTCTAGAGAATCACGAATATACAGCTCTTGTTTTCTGTGACTTTTCTAAAGCGTTTGACCGAGTCTGACATAAAAGTTTGTTAATTAAATTAGGAATATACTGCATAAGGAGTAAAGCCTTAGAATTGATTAAAAAACTATTTAAGCAACAGACGTCAATCAGCTGTCCTTAAAAATAGTGTCTCTCGAGAAGTATGTATTAAAGCCGGGGTTCCCCAAGGTTCTGTTCTTGGCCCTCTTCTCTTTCTTGTATACATTAACGATATTTCAAGCACTCTTTTATCTCTTCCTAGACTTTTCGTTGACGATACTGCATTAGCATACTCTTCTAAACATTTACGCGATCTAAATCAGGTAATAAACTACGACATGGAACAGCTGAATCTTTGGTCTCAAAAATGGTTAATGAGCTTCAATCCAACTAAAACTGAAATACTCCTGATTTCTAACACAAATATACCTTCTAACCCAAAATTTCTCTTTGACAACACACCCATTCCTATCGTTAACAAACACAAACACTTAAGAGTAGTTATAAACAGCAATGGTACTTGGAACTCTCACATTGATGACATTTTGACAAAAACTGCTAAAAACATCGCAACACTTAGGAAACTAGTACATCTTGAATTGAATATACCTTGTTTTCATCAGACCACTTTTTGAATACGCCTGCGAAGTTTGGGACAATTGCAATACCAGTCTTTCAAATAAATTAGAAAATATTCAGTATGTAGCAGGTCGTATAATTACAGGATTACCAGTATTTACTAAAAAAGAATTTATTTACAAGGAGCTAGGCTGGCAATCGTTGGCGGACAGACGTAAAAATAGGAAGTTATCTATGTTTTATAATATTTATCACACTAATGCTCCTTCATATCTAAAATCTCTACTACCAACTACTGTGTCAAACTCTACAAATTACAATCTTAGAAACAGAAATAACTTTCAAAATCCATCCTATATGCTACAACTTACAAAGTCATCCTTTATACCAAGCACTTCAGACTCCTGGAATACTCTACCTATAGAAACTAAGTCATCTGATTCTATCAAACAATTCAAAACTCTTCTACCTCATCTTACTATCCCAACAAATATTAAATAATTTCTTGGGTACAGGCCTAGAAAAGTAAATATTATACATTGCCAACTCCGCAACCGCAGCAGCTCTCTAAATTATGATCTTTACAAAGCACGTCTTCGACCCAATTCTTCTTGCAGTTGCCGACATCATTCTGAAGACTCTAGTCATTACTTGCTTTTCTGTAACAACTTTGATCAATTACTTAATATAATGCTTTAGTCTCTTTACTGGTACAACGGAATAACTGTGGAACACCTTCTATTTGGGGACGAAAATCTAGATACTGATGAAAATATTGTCATTTTTTGGTATGTACAATCATTTATTTCCAGTTCTAAACGTTTTAACATTTAATCATCGATAACCAGGACGGGGCTGGTGGTGTCGGGAGAGGGATACACACGGGGCTTGTGGTGTCGGGAGAGGGATACACACGGGGCTGGTGGTGTCTGGAGAGGGATACACACTGGGCTGGTGGGGTCGGGAGAGGGATACACACTGGGCTGGTGGTGTCGGGAGAGGGATACACACGGGGCTGGTGGTGTCGGGAGAGGGATACACACGGGCTGGTGGTGTCGGAAGAGGGAAACACACGGGGCTGGTGGTGTCGGGAGAGGGATACACACGGGGCTGGTGGGGTCGGGAGAGGGATACACACGGGACTGGTGGTGTCGGGAGAGGGATACACACTGGGCTGGTGGGGTCGGGAGAGGGATACACACGGGGCTGGTGGTGTCGGGAGAGGGAAACACACGGGGCTGGTGGGGTCGGGAGAGGGATACACACGGGGCTGGTGGGGTCAGGAGAGGGATACACACGGGGCTGGTGGTGTCACGTGTTGTGGGAACGAGGATGTCTGTATGTATTCATTGTTTCTATAGATACGAGTAGGGATACACACGGGGCCGGTGGTGTCAGGTGTTGTGGGAACGAGGATGCCGCGTTACTGTCTCTTCGGGGACACCGTCAACACAGCCTCGCGTATGGAGAGTCACGGGGTTCCAGGCCGGGTTCACGTCAGTTGGTCCACTTACCAGTAAGTACAAAAGAAAGGTTAAGACTAAGGACAGATTTCGATGTATAGTATTGATAGATGCAAAAGATGCAAGGAAAAAAGATGGAAAGCATCGTCTGTGTCATTGACGGTACCGGCCATATTATGCCTAGTCAGTTGAAGTAATGTCAAGTTCTCAAAATGAGAATCAGTGTACTGGCAACAGAATTTCCAGGCATATCAGTGTGAACTTAACATCTAATAATACAGTAAGAACTTGCTGGTAACGGTAAATCTTCCATATAATATTCATCAACATCTCTCGAAATCCCAATGATTTGACGTGGAATGCCGAAATTTAACGCGAAAATCGAGAGCTTGAGAAAAAGAGTTCACGGCTGTGGAGAATTAATCCATGCTTCTCACAGGAAGTGAATAAAATCACAAAAGGATGAAAGGACAAATCCACATAACACGTTAATCAAACACAACCATGAGATACTAAATATAACCGGGGGACACTATACAGTTCTCTGTGAGGTTAATATAGGTAACATATTAGCGACAGCACTTTTTATAAAAAATAATTATAAAATCAAATATCATTAAGTAATGACACGATATCTTCCATTAATTCTCTCATTTAATTAGTCCTCTCCATTATATTTTGGTCTTTCACAACGTATCATTACCATATGGGTAAACACACTATGTTGATAAGGGATTGTTAGATGTGCACGCCGTTTGAATTGTAATGAAGTATGCTATACAAAATACGTGCGCGAAGACCACACGGGAATCGCCAGTGTTCTGATTATACAAAACAAAATACAATGGAGATTAAAAATTGTTTTCTAATAAGGCAAGTAATATTCAATTCTGCCACTTCTAATAGGGAGATTATCAGACAGGCAATATGAATATTTCATCTGACAAGACTCATTTTCATTCATTATTGTAAATGATAAGATAGCTGTACCTAAAAAAACCATAGTTTCTGTGATCTAACATCTCTGAGTATAGAGAGATGTAGGTGATAACAGTATCATAGTTTCTGTGATGTAACATCTCTGGGTATAGAGAGATGATAACAGTATCATAGTTTCTGTGATGTAACATCTCTGGGTATAGAGAGATGTAAATGATAACAGTGTCATAGTTTCTGTAATCTAACATCTCTGGGTATAGAGATGTAGATGATAACAGTATCATAGTTTCTGTGATGTAACATCTCTGGGTATAGAGAGATGTAGGTAGATGATAACAATATCATAGTTTCTGTGATCTAACATCTCTGAGTATAGAGAGATGATAACAGTATCATAGTTTCTGTGATCTAACATCTCTGAGTATAGAGAGATGTAGATGATAACAGTGTCACAGTTTCTGTGATCTAACATCTCTGGGTATAGAGAGATGTAGATGATAACAGTATCATAGTTTCTGTGATGTAACATCTCTGGGTATAGAGAGATGTAGGTAAATGATAACAATATCATAGTTTCTGTAATCTAACATCTCTGGGTATAGAGAGATGTAGATGATAACAGTATCATAGTTTCTGTGATCTAACATCTCTGGGTATAGAGAGATGATAACAGTATCATAGTTTCTGTGATGTAACATCTCTGGGTATAGAGAGATGTAGATGATAACAGTATCATAGTTTCTGTGATGTAACATCTCTGGGTATAGAGAGATGATAACAGTATCATAGTTTCTGTGATGTAACATCTCTGGGTATAGAGAGATGATAACAGTATCATAGTTTCTGTGATCTAACATCTCTGGGTATAGAGAGATGTAGATGATAACAATATCATAGTTTCTGTGATCTAACATCTCTGAGTATAGAGAGATGTAGATGATAACAGTATCATAGTTTCTGTGATGTAACATCTCTGAGTATAGAGAGATGATAACAGTATCATAGTTTCTGTGATCTAACATCTCTGAGTATAGAGAGATGATAACAGTATCATAGTTTCTGTGATCTAACATCTCTGGGTATAGAGAGATGATAACAGTATCATAGTTTCTGTGATGTAACATCTCTGGGTATAGAGAGATGTAAATGATAACAGTGTCACAGTTTCTGTGATCTAACATCTCTGAGTATAGAGAGATGTAGATGATAACAGTATCATAGTTTCTGTGATGTAACATCTCTGGGTATAGAGAGATGTAGATGATAACAGTGTCATAGTTTCTGTGATGCAACATCTCTGGGTATAGAGAGATGATAACAGTATCATAGTTTCTGTGATCTACCATCTCTGAGTATAGAGAGATGTAGATGATAACAGTGTCATAGTTTCTGTGATGTAACATCTCTGGGTATAGAGAGATGATAACAGTGTCATAGTTTCTGTGATGTAACATCTCTGGGTATAGAGAGATGATAACAGTATCATAGTTTCTGTGATCTAACATCTCTGGGTATAGAGAGATGATAACAGTATCATAGTTTCTGTGATGCAACATCTCTGAGTATAGAGAGATGTAGATGATAACAGTATCATAGTTTCTGTGATCTAACATCTCTGGGTATAGAGAGATGTAGATGATAACAGTGTCACAGTTTCTGTGATCTAACATCTCTGAGTATAGAGAGATGTAGATGATAACAGTATCATAGTTTCTGTGATGTAACATCTCTGGGTATAGAGAGATGTAAATGATAACAATATCATAGTTTCTGTGATGTAACATCTCTGGGTATAGAGAGATGATAACAGTATCATAGTTTCTGTGATGTAACATCTCTGGGTATAGAGAGATGATAACAGTATCATAGTTTCTGTGATGTAACATCTCTGGGTATAGAGAGATGTATATGATAACAGTATCATAGTTTCTGTGATGTAACATCTCTGGGTATAGAGAGATGTAGGTGATGATAACAATATCATAGTTTCTGTGATCTAACATCTCTGAGTATAGAGAGATGATAACAGTATCATAGTTTCTGTGATCTAACATCTCTGGGTATAGAGAGATGATAACAGTATCATAGTTTCTGTGATGTAACATCTCTGGGTATAGAGAGATGTAGATGATAACAGTATCATAGTTTCTGTGATGTAACATCTCTGGGTATAGAGAGATGATAACAGTGTCATAGTTTCTGTGATGTAACATCTCTGGGTATAGAGAGATGTAGATGATAACAGTATCATAGTTTCTGTGATCTAACATCTCTGGGTATAGAGAGATGATGACAGTATCATAGTTTCTGTGATGTAACATCTCTGGGTATAGAGAGATGATAACAGTATCATAGTTTCTGTAATCTAACATCTCTGGGTATAGAGAGATGTAGATGATAACAGTATCATAGTTTCTGTGATCTAACATCTCTGGGTATAGAGAGATGATAACAGTATCATAGTTTCTGTGATGTAACATCTCTGGGTATAGAGAGATGATAACAGTATCATAGTTTCTGTGATGTAACATCTCTGGGTATAGAGAGATGATAACAGTATCATAGTTTCTGTGATGTAACATCTCTGGGTATAGAGAGATGATAACAGTTTCATAGTTTCTGTGATGTAACATCTCTGAGTATAGAGAGATGATAACAGTATCATAGTTTCTGTAGAGAGATGATAACAGTTTCATAGTTTCTGTGATGGGGTATAGAGAGATGATAACAGTTTCATAGTTTCTGTGATGTAACATCTCTGAGTATAGAGAGATGATAACAGTATCATAGTTTCTGTGATGTAACATCTCTGGGTATAGAGAGATGATAACAGTATCATAGTTTCTGTGATGTAACATCTCTGGGTATAGAGAGATGATAACAGTTTCATAGTTTCTGTGATGTAACATCTCTGGGTATAGAGAGATGTAAATGATAACAGTGTCATAGTTTCTGTGATCTAACATCTCTGGGTATAGAGAGATGTAGATGATAACAGTATCATAGTTTCTGTGATGTAACATCTCTGGGTATAGAGAGATGTGGGTAGATGATAACTGAGATATCCTGGGTATTTATTGTGATAAACTGCTGATCAACCTTCCTTTACATAGTGAGTTGAGTCGACAGATCAGAACCTGGTATTATTCCCACTTGACTTTTCAATGAGAATTTTTCTATTGATAATATTTAATGTTTGTTCCATCAAATGTAAGTATGAGCTATCACTTTATTGATATGAAGATATATTCTTTAATATTAAGTTAAACATGCCATTTTTACACTAGAACCCAGAAGTGTGGCTGCCCCAGCATGACAGAAAGTTACAGGGGTAAAGAATCTCTATATATCATATCATACTAATTCTGTGTCTAATAATGATTAAATATCACAGTCAGTATATGGTAACAATATCCCTAATGTGACCTTTAGAATGACCTTGACAGGCATACTTCCTGTGATAGTGGTAAATGACATATCTTGAATTCTGTTACAAAGTTAAGTTTTCAATGGACTTGTTAGATATCCTCTGATGTAACTCTGTATATATACCATATACACACTAGGATATATTTAGGTCTAACCAGGAGATCCTGTATTGATTTTACAAACAGCATTAGCAGTGAAACAATAGATTGAACTCTTGTTGTAAAATTGGACATTTATTTCAGGAAACTTATCAACTCTGAATATAATATCGAGCCCAGAGGAGAGATTGAGATCAAAGGTAAAGGATTGATGAACACATACTTTATCAACGGCAAGTCGTCCAGTGTCCAGACACCCTGCAGACCACAGGACAGTCATGTAATAAATACAGAAGCCATCACAGAAAGTAATGGTCGTATTCAAGAAGAAAATGAAATAAAAAACACATCGTCTTCAACAAGAATCACTATAGACAATAGAGAGGAAGAAACAAGTCAAAGTTCACTGTGTTATATACTGTAGAGAGTGAGTCCACCACAATCGGTCAAGCTCACTTAAATTATAGCTGGTAGTAATATCTACCAGACAGGAAGTCTGGACATTGGTCAAAGCTTGTCCTGTCTTATACTGTAGAGGGTAGTACCATCCACCAGACAGGAAGTCTAGACAATGGTCAAAGCTTGTCCTGTCTTATACTGTAGAGGGTAGTACCATCCACCAGACAACAGTTCTAGACATTGGTCAAAGCTTGCCCTGTCTTATACTGTAGAGGGTAGTACCATCCACCAGACAGGAAGTCTAGGCATTGGTCAAAGCTTGTCCTGTCTTATACTGTAGAGGGTAGTACCATCCACCAGACAGGAAGTCTAGACATTGGTCAAAGCTTGTCCTGTCTTATACTGTAGAGGGTAGTACCATCCACCAGACAGGAAGTCTAGACATTGGTCAAAGCTTGTCCTGTCTTATACTGTAGAGGGTAGTACCATCCACCAGACAGGAAGTCTAGACATTGGTCAAAGCTTGTCCTGTCTTATACTGTAGAGGGTAGTACCATCCACCAGACAGGAAGTCTAGACATTGGTCAAAGCTTGTCCTGTCTTATACTGTAGAGGGTAGTACCATCCACCAGACAGGAAGTCTAGACATTGGTCAAAGCTTGTCCTGTCTTATACTGTAGAGGGTAGTACCATCCACCAGACAGGAAGTCTAGACATTGGTCAAAGCTTGTCCTGTCTTATACTGTAGAGGGTAGTACCATCCACCAGACAACAGTTCTAGACATTGGTCAAAGCTTGTCCTGTCTTATACTGTAGAGGGTAGTACCATCCACCAGACAACAGTTCTAGACATTGGTCAAAGCTTGTCCTGTCTTATACTGTAGAGGGTAGTACCATCCACCAGACAGGAAGTCTAGACATTGGTCAAAGCTTGTCCTGTCTTATACTGTAGAGGGTAGTACCATCCACCAGACAGGAAGTCTAGACATTGGTCAAAGCTTGTCCTGTCTTATACTGTAGAGGGTAGTACCATCCACCAGACAACAGTTCTAGACATTGGTCAAAGCTTGTCCTGTCTTATACTGTAGAGGGTAGTAACAACATATTCATATTTAGAAAATTATTTTGCTGTTTTATTGACTTTAAAGCTGTATTCTACTAAATAAGTGTAAAGCTCAGCCAAAGTCATTTTTACGGAGAATACTCGTTTCAGTCCTCAACTTTGGAAAATAGATTGACTTTTAAAACAAAATTAGTTTTCAGTAAAAACGATGAGACAGTTTAAAGACATTCAATTTAATTATAGTTTCTAGTTTTACTCGGAACTCAATTAATGTGTTTCACACAACCCAGGCATACAAATAAACAATTTAAATTTCATCCGCAGTACAGCCAACTCAATCAGGGTATATTTAACATCAAAGCCACCATGTGTAACTCCATTATAATGTTAACTCATTCATTGTTTTGCCAATTTTATTTTCGTTGCTTTTATTACTAATCTTCTTCCACAAATGTCAATGAAAATATTCAAACATTTTGATCATTGCCATTTCACCCTTTGAAATTGTAAATGATGCTTATACATAGTTATCCTGAAATGAAGGAGTTAAGAGTAATGTGACTAAAATCATATAGTTTGTATGTACATCACAGTGTAGTGAAAATACTACATCTCTTCTCTCACACGTCAGCTCTAGGTCAACTTTCCAAGGTCATGGGGTCAGAGTTCAGGAAACAACATTGTTTCTTAATGCACTAATTACAAAACTTACAATATAAAATAGTTTAAATCTGTAGCATGTATAGAAAATTCTATAAATATCGATACAAATCTGGTGTTTATCAGTCACAAATTATAGAATTTGTATAACCCTGAATGTTGATTAGTTCAGTATATATTTAGTGATTTCTGTTACATATTGTGAAATATGTTCAGACTCCATCATATATACAAATTATAAAAAAGACAACAATCTGTATGGCGGTAAAAAATAGATCAAAGGGAGGTAATCCAAGGAAATATCAATATAAATATGATGATAGCAAAATACATTTGTTAGATATGAAAATACGAAATGTTTTGCCATGGCTGATTAGATACAATGTATTATGCAATTTATTTCTTAATCTAAATTCATTAATGCATGTAAAAGTTGACTATAAATTTTATAAATGATGTTTTTCATTCATTAGACCTGTCACATACTCAAAACACATCAACTAGACATGTTATATACTCAAAATACATCTACTAGACCTGTTACATACTCAAAACGCATCTACTACACCTGTAACATACTCAAAACACATCAACTACACCTGTTACATACTAATAACACATCACCTAGACATGTTACATACTCAAAACACATCTTCTAGACATGCTACATACTCAAAACACATCTTCTAGATCTGTAACATACTCAAAACACATCTACTAGACCTGTTACATACTCAAAACACATCTACTAGACCTGTTACATACTCAAAACACATCTACTAGACCTGTTACATACTCAAAACTCATGTACTAGACCTGTTACATACTCAAAACACATCTACTAGACCTTTTATATACTCAAAACACATCAACTAGACATGTTACATACTCAAAATACATCTTCTAGACATGCTACATACTCAAAACACATTTACTAGACCTGTTACATACTCAAAACACATCAACTACACCTGTAACATACTCAAAACACATCAACTAGACCTGTTATATACTCAAAACTCATGTACTAGACCTGTTACATACTCAAAACACATCTACTAGACCTTTTATATACTCAAAACACATCAACTAGACATGTTACATACTCAAAATACATCTTCTAGACATGCTACATACTCAAAACACATTTACTAGACCTGTTACATACTCAAAACACATCAACTACACCTGTAACATACTCAAAACACATCAACTAGACCTGTTACATACTCATAACACATCACCTAGACATGTTACATACTCAAAACACATCTACTAGACCTGTAACATACTCAAAATACATCTACTACACCTGTTATATACTCAAGACACATTTACTACACCTGTTATAAATTCAAAACACAGCAGTATATATCTGAAAATACATTTGTAAGTAACCAGTGTCTATATGTGATTGTATCCATAGATACATGTACCCTGTTGTTAAGATGTAATCAATTTACCTGAGTTACTTTAACAACATATTAAATAATTACAATTTCAAGGTAAGGAGTACCATTTTTGGATTATTTAACAAATTAAATACACACACACACGCACATGCAAATGCATGCACACACACACCATAACACACACACACACACCATCACACACACACACACACACACCCACACACACACACACACACAGAGTTGAAGAATACTTCAAAATTAAACATTTTTAATATCATTTTTAAAATCTAAGGGTTCCTTTCTGAATTAATGAATCTTTCTTAGCCTCGTTACTTTCTCATGATAAAATTGAAAGTTCATGGTAAGCTACTACATAGGTTAAAGAAAAAAACCAACAAATCAGACCATTAACAAGAGTGAAATGGAGTCAAACTGTCATCACTGAAGTTAGGGTGAAAATTATTATCATGTTAGAGGGAAAATTATCACCAATTTAAGCTAAACTCTCACCATTGCATCTGTTTTTGTTTAACATGAAATATTTGTTTACATTTTTTGTTGTTTCCTTGCTTAGATAAATCAAAAAAATTAATACCAAATCAAACTTCAGATGAAAATTTTACATGTAAATTTAAATTTGGTATCCAGCATAGTTTTCAACTTTAAAATGGTGTTCAGGTTTGAACCATGAAAGAGAGACAAACATTTCATGTTATACAGTGTGCTGCCATTTGATTGTTTTGATCTTTGATTGAATCATCACTCTAAGATCACAGATAATGCTGCAGGATTCTGTTTCAGTCACAAGCCTTGTCTTTTGAAAATTTGGAAGTTGGACGTAATGACTCCAAAAATTAACAAATATCAAAAGATGAAAATTAAGGGCACTATGTCAGTTCGTATGTTAAGATGAATCTATATCGGAGTCTGACCCTGAATCAGATTCGGAATCGGACACTTCTATTGGAGGACAGTGCCTGTATGAACACTTTGCTGGACAGTCAAACGGACATTCTTTGGAATTTAGGGGTTTTCTTTGGTAATATTCTTCCTTTACAAATTCATTGTACTGTAGATATTCCTGGAGAGGTTCAGGCAGAGGGAGGTCACTGACCTTGGCAGGGGCATGAGTTCCCATTAATTTGAATATCCGTGCACGACACAGTTGCTTAAGAGTCTGTGGAGTTGAAGCCTCTTTCTGAAGCCAATTGAATATATCTGGTCGACGATAAATAGACACTGGCCACATCTGTTTTTGCAACCATTCCTCATTTAAAGATAAAGGATTAAGTGCCACTAAAAATTTTATAATCCGTACCAGTTTTTCCTCTACAGCCATGTACATATACGACGATCCTTTGTCCTTTTTTATAGTACAGCCATGACGTATCAAAGTCAGTGCACTCTCTGTGGCATGTAATTTGATAGCCTGTTGAAGGGGTGTTTCCTTCCATTTATATCTTTTGTCCACTTTATACCCGTTTTTCAATAAAATTTTCACCATGGCAGCATTATGGTTTTCTATAGCGACTGACATGGCAGTAACTCCAGCATTACTTTTCGCATGGATTTTGGCTCCATTTTCCACCAGTAACTCTGTAATATCATACCGACAGTACGCCACAGCGAAGTGTAATGCATTCAGACCAGCGTCCGTCTTTGTCTGCAGCTTACATAGTGAACTTATCAGTACCTCACAGATATCCCTATTGTCCATCTGAATGGCTCTGAAACACAAAACAAGGATCACATTTAAGCCTGTGTACAACAGGTATATACTTGGTGTCTGATTAATTCTGTATTTCAAGAGAGAGCTGACTAACGATCTATTTGACATTGCACATGGAAGTCCAGAGAAACTGGTAGTTGAGCAAGACAGTTTCATCCTTTCAAATAAAAATATTAATGAAATATTGATTTCTCTTAGAACAAATTAAAGCTGAACACCAAGTAGCAGTAGATAAAACATATTACAGGGAATTCCCACATAGGGATGACCAAGCACAGTCACATAAGTACATAAATTTCATACATATTGTACAATAATATCACTTGGATCTATTAATTACAAAGTCTGCAAATATAACTCACAGATAAAAATGTCCTTAAGGTTGTGACTATATTTCATCAGTATAAACGTATTGTGTTATATTGATTTTATTTGTGTAAAAATTCATATTGAAGAATTCATTTCCATGCATATTCATATTCTTCTATCAGACACAACTGTCCAACACACAATAAAAGTACACTGACTTACTTGATGAGTGGAGTCTCATTACTGTTCTCTAAGGACAATCTCCGGAGGTTAACATCTCCTCCTGCTCTTATTAACAGCTGACAGATCTCTGTGGACTCTGTGAGAACAGCACGGAACAAAGGGGAACAACCTAGTAAGGTAAACAACTGACAATGAAAAGATTGACACATCAGTGTCCATTGCAATTTATATCTACATATATTCCATCTTATTATCTGTATGGAGTTATCTCCCTTTACACAATATTGAATAACCAGATTTGGAGAAATATATAGGGATTGGGGTTATTAAAGGAATTTGTTGACATTTCAATATTAGTAGATAGGGGTGGGCTAAATACCAGGACTTACTGATTGATTAATAATGAAATTAAGATATGACAAAATTTGATATATTCATGTGTCCATTCAGTGAGTCAACTACATATGTCATCAAATAACCAGTGAAATAGATGTGTGATTAAGACATTTTTAGTGTTTTGAGCTCTTCTACAAAGTTGATTGAGTTTCAGAAGCATTTACCCCTAAGAAAGATAATTTATTAGTTGAACAGAGAATAACAAAAGAACCTACCTGATTCTTTATCTACTGTGTTGACCTCACATTGTGTTTTCCCATTAAGCAGATATTCTACCATTTTAACATTGCCATTCTTGGTTGCCAACCTACAAAAAACAGTACGAGCTTTTAATAACAGCAAGGAATTATAGGGTATATACATAATATAAATGTGTTATAAATCACTCACTTGATTTGAAATAAAACAACACTGAAATTTTCACTAAAAAATGCATAAGTAATGTCTAGAAACACCTCCCAATATGATGAAAATTGAAGCTTATTTACCATATTGCCCGCTTGCCCTTGGTCGTCTCATCATTGATGTTGGCTGGAGTGGGTTTAGCCTTCAACAGCAGCCGTACCATCTCCTCATCATTCATCTCTGCAGCAATCAGAAGTGGAGTAGGCAGGACAGGGTCCTCTGTATCTCGCATGTTTACATCCACCACACGCTCCTTTATCATTCGTTTCACATTTTTGTGGTCTCCAGCACGTATAAAGTCCACAAACTCCTTAGCAACTGGTGCCAATGACGGACGCTTCTTCATCATTTTTTGTAGCTCAGGGTTAGTAGTGGTCAGACAATTATTGGGCATGGCTCCATTTTCTTTGGTCTGGGAATCAGACCTTCTTTTCACTGTTCTGTTTTTACAGGATTTAACCCGTCTCTGAGAAGATAAGTAAGAATATACATCCTTTGTTCTGTTCACCTCACCACGACCAGGCAAGGCTTTTGGTTTCCTGAAACGAAATAACTCACTTATTACTCACTTTCATTATTCTTGATTCTTGTATATAAGTTGGCATCACGTTTTGGAAATTTTGATTTCTTTGATTACTAAACAGGCTTTATCAGAATTTTTGGATTCTCTGTCTAAATAACATCATATATTACTTAGCTATTATGCAAGATAGTAGATTTCTTGGGAATATTGGGCATTGCTACAGAATAATTGTTTCTTGCTGAAAAGTTGTATAATGGATATGAGGACTGTATAGAACAGATCAGGAAAAATCTACATGCATTCAAGAAATGATGATGGTATTTACAGTTATTTGACCTGTACATTCCGATGTGACCAATTACAGATCAACTTGTTTGACAACGGGATTCCAGTCTACATCCCAAAATGTTCCTACCTTTAAAAAGATGACCGCTAGAGTAATAAATGATTATCAGTGTAACTGTACCAGATAAAAAAATCAAATCTTGTTTAAATTTTCCATTCAACCAAGCTGTCAAGCAAATGTGGTTTACAGTTTAAAGACAAGGTAGGTACACATGTTTTCTACATATCTAACCCATGTGATATACCTGTGTTACACTATTTAACTGCTAACAATGTTTTCCTTTACTGTGAAATCATACATATTCATGGAGATCAAATTTTATGGTTTTTCAAATATGCTTTATTTCTTACACAGTTGATTAAGTTGTGAGATAGTACTCAGGAAAGCCACTGATGCAAAGAATGTGTATCAGTTTTTATATATCTAAGTAAACAACTTTTTAAAATTTTAAAAACCAGTGCCTTGGACTCAACCTTTCATTGTCAACTCTTACATAGCTGGACACTATAACAGACATGAAGTTAAACCTCGGCACCAGCCCCTGTGTATTACATTGTTGGACACTATAACAGACATGTAGTAAAACCTCGGCACCAGCCCCTGTGTATTACATTGTTGGACACTATAACAGACATGTAGTAAAACCTCAGCACCAGCCCCTGTGTATTACATTGTTGGACACTATAACAGACATGTAGTAAAACCTCAGCACCAGCCCCTGTGTATTTCATTGTTGGACACTATAACAGACATGTAGTAAAACCTCAGCACCAGTCTCCTGTGTATTACATTGTTGGACACTATAACAGACATGTAGTAAAACCTCAGCACCAGTCTCCTGTGTATTACATTGTTGGACACTATAACAGACATGTAATAAAACCTCAGCACCAGTCTCCTGTGTATTACATTGTTGGACACTATAACAGACATGTAGTAAAACCTCAGCACCAGTCTCCTGTGTATTACATTGTTGGACACTATAACAGACATGTAGTAAAACCTCAGCACCAGCCCCTGTGTATTACATTGTTGGACACTATAACAGACATGTAATAAAACCTCAGCACCAGTCTCAGACACACAAAATTATACAAAAATAACTCTAAAGTGATAAACATCTTAAACATCAAAATATCAAAATTTGAAATATGAAATGGTCATACATGGTTTAATTGGTGATAAAACTCTAAAACTGTAAGATAAACAACTCACATGACAGGAACATGTTATTACAGCATTCAATTCCATCTACCTGTCAATAACTTGTTTACAGATTTTATACCAGGTACATATAGATTCCATATGCTCTTATGGTGGAATAGGTTGATAAGATGTTATCAACTGAAGTGATTTACAAATTAGATTTAAAAACTAGTAATGAAATGAATGTATACTCAGCGGAACAGATCAAGGATATATGCTGTTAGGAGTTAAAATTAAGTAATGTTAGCATCACTTCAACTTTGATGTTTTGAAAGCTTTTTCTAAGATCAGACATGATGTTGATATTTGGAAGGCTAATCATTTATACTATGTAAATATCATCAGTATTTATCATTAACTTACGAAAAAAGGAGCCCTGATTGACAAATTAAATATCTAACACAGACTAACAATAACAGGTAACAATTAGCTCTGATCAGACAACTACCTATCTACCACAGGTAACAATTAGTAATGATCAGACAACTACCTATCTACCACAGGTAACAAATAGCACTGATCAGACAACTACCTATCTACCACAGGTAACAATTAGTAATGGTCAGACAACTACCTATCTACCACAGGTAACAAATAGCACTGATCAGACAACTACCTATCTACCACAGGTAACAATTAGTACTGATCAGACAACTACCTATCTACCACAGGTAACAATTAGTACTGATCAGACAACTACCTATCTACCACAGGTAACAATTAGTAATGGTCAGACAACTACCTATCTACCACAGGTAACAATTAGTACTGATCAGACAACTACCTATCTACCACAGGTAACAATTAGTACTGGTCAGACAACTACCTATCTACCACAGGTAACAATTAGCACTGATCAGACAACTACCTATCTACCACAGGTAACAATTAGTACTGATCAGACAACTACCTATCTACCACAGGTAACAATTAGTACTGATTAGTACTGATCAGACAACTACCTATCTACCACAGGTAACAATTAGTACTGATCAGACAACTACCTATCTACCACAGGTAACAATTAGCTCTGATCAGACAACTACCTATCTACCACAGGTAACAATTAGCTCTGATCAGACAACTACCTATCTACCACAGGTAACAATTAGTACTGATCAGACAACTACCTATCTACCACAGGTAACAATTAGCTCTGATCAGACAACTACCTATCTACCACAGGTAACAATTAGTAATGATCAGACAACTACCTATCTACCACAGGTAACAATTAGTACTGATCAGACAACTACCTATCTACCACAGGTAACAATTAGTACTGATCAGACAACTACCTATCTACCACAGGTAACAATTAGTACTGATCAGACAACTACCTATCTACCACAGGTAACAATTAGTAATGGTCAGACAACTACCTATCTACCACAGGTAACAATTAGTACTGATCAGACAACTACCTATCTACCACAGGTAACAAATAGCACTGATCAGACAACTACCTATCTACCACAGGTAACAATTAGCTCTGATCAGACAACTACCTATCTATCACAGGTAACAATTAGCTCTGATCAGACAACTACCTATCTACCACAGGTATCAGACAACTACCTATCTACCACAGGTAACAATTAGTAATGATCAGACAACTACCTATCTACCACAGGTAACAATTAGTAATGATCAGACAACTACCTATCTACCACAGGTAACAAATAGCACTGATCAGACAACTACCTATCTACCACAGGTAACAAATAGTACTGATCAGACAACTACCTATCTACCACAGGTAACAATTAGTACTGATCAGACAACTACCTATCTACCACAGGTAGTAACAATTAGTACAAATAGCACTGATCAGACAACTACCTATCTACCACAGGTAACAATTAGTAATGATCAGACAACTACCTATCTACCACAGGTAACAATTAGTACTGATCAGACAACTACCTATCTACCACAGGTAACAAATAGCATCAGACAACTACCTATCTACCACAGGTAACATTAGCTGATCAGACAACTACCTATCTACCACAGGTAACAATTAGCTCTGATCAGACAACTACCTATCTACCACAGGTAACAATTAGTACTGATCAGACAACTACCTATCTACCACAGGTAACAATTAGCACTGATCAGACAACTACCTATCTACCACAGGTAACAATTAGCTCTGATCAGACAACTACCTATCTACCACAGAGTAACAAATAGTACTGATCAGACAACTACCTATCTACCACAGGTAACAATTAGTACTGATCAGACAACTACCTATCTACCACAGGTAACAATTAGTACTGATCAGACAACTACCTATCTACCACAGGTAACAATTAGTACTGATCAGACAACTACCTATCTACCACAGGTAACAATTAGCTCTGATCAGACAACTACCTATCTACCACAGGTAACAATTAGCTCTGATCAGACAACTACCTATCTACCACAGGTAACAATTAGTACTGATCAGACAACTACCTATCTACCACAGGTAACAATTAGTACTGATCAGACAACTACCTATCTACCACAGGTAACAAATAGTACTGATCAGACAACTACCTATCTACCACAGGTAACAAATAGCACTGATCAGACAACTACCTATCTACCACAGGTAACAATTAGTAATGATCAGACAACTACCTATCTACCACAGGTAACAATTAGCTCTGATCAGACAACTACCTATCTACCACAGGTAACAATTAGCTCTGATCAGACAACTACCTATCTACCACAGGTAACAATTAGCACTGATCAGACAACTACCTATCTACCACAGGTAACAATTAGCTCTGATCAGACAACTACCTATCTACCACAGGTAACAAATAGCTCTGATCAGACAACTACCTATCTATCACAGAGTAACAATTAGTACTGGTCAGACAACTACCTATCTACCACAGGTAACAATTAGTAATGGTCAGACAACTACCTATCTACCACAGGTAACAATTAGTAATGATCAGACAACTACCTATCTACCACAGGTAACAATTAGTAATGGTCAGACAACTACCTATCTACCACAGGTAACTATCACTACCTACAGGTAACAATTAGAAATGGTCAGACAACTACCTATCTACCACAGGTAACAATTAGTACTGATCAGACAACTACCTATCTACCACAGGTAACAATTAGTAATGGTCAGACAACTACCTATCTACCACAGGTAACAATTAGTAATGGTCAGACAACTACCTATCTACCACAGGTAACAATTAGCTCTGATCAGACAACTACCTATCTACCACAGGTAACAATTAGCTCTGATCAGACAACTACCTATCTACCACAGGTAACAATTAGTACTGATCAGACAACTACCTATCTACCACAGGTAACAATTAGTACTGATCAGACAACTACCTATCTACCACAGGTAACAATTAGCTCTGATCAGACAACTACCTATCTACCACAGGTAACAATTAGTACTGATCAGACAACTACCTATCTACCAC